GTATTGCAAAGCCAATATATTTCAACGGCTATATAGTGATGGTTCGTTAGCCTCTACATTGACGCTTGTTTATGTGTGGTTCTTAAAAGCTCGGAGAGCGAGCCTCAGACCCTGGTGATGAACAGTGTCTAATAATTTGAGATATGAAGAACTATTATCCATATACAATGGAACCGTAGTCTTATTCATAATCTGATAAAAGCTCTTTAAAATCTTAGCAAAAGTTTTTCCTATCCGCTCCCCTTCCAGTGTGGGACGCTACCCAAGCAAAATGTTCAAATTTCTGCAGATAGAAGGACAAAAACAAAAACAACAAATTCGGCTCCCTGGAGGATATGGAGTACCAGGTAACTAATCCCAAATCCTCCAAGATCTCTATCAAAGCTGTCAAACCCCCCTTAAGTTTGAACAAATAATCTAGCTAATTATCAATGATCCTCCTCTCTTCTCTTCATTTACATTAGTGATAATTGATACAATAATCCAATGGAATTGTAAAGGTCTTCGATCCAATATTGATGAAATTATTTGACTGTCTTAAGAAGATAACCCTAGTGTAATTGTCTCCTACAAACGCTCACCAAAGTCGCTATCCTGGTTGACAGCCAAGTTCCTCACAGAAATATACAATTGTTTACAGACCTCCAGGCAACTGCTTTTCGTGTTATACTATATAGGACGCTGACAGTATGCTCTAGCTAACTCCCTCAAAACACTGATTTTATGAACTACGAACTAGACCACTTCCTCTTGCATCTGTCTCCTCCATTCGTACAACCATTGCGGTTCACCCGACACCAATGACAGAGGAACAAAAATGGAAAATAACTTTTGTCTTTTCAAAAATAAATCTCCAACTTATTTGAATCCCCCTTCCGGAACATTCTCGCGCCTTAATTTAGCGTTGTGTCACCCATCGTTGTAACTCGCTTTCGAATGGACAGTACATGACGATCTCTGTGTAAGCGACCACTTTCCAATATTTCTAAGGGATAATGGATCTACAAGGAAAATCATGTACCCCATCAGAAATCACATAAAGCTGATTGGAAAAAATTCGAACATCACAATACCAAAATCCCAAACACCATTGATTTCCTGAATTTAGAAGACACAGAAAAATCCTTTACTTACAAAATTCTGGAGATAGCCGAAGAATGTATACCAAAGTCCAAACGAAAACGCAATAAAAAAATCCTGCATTAATGAAGATTGTGATAAAACTAGGCAATTAAAAACCAACCCCATCAGCGCTAACTTAAAAAACGATAAAATATTAGGGCAAAAATCCCGTCGAACTATACGATTAAACAAAAACATTATATCAGAGATCTTATGTGTCCAAATTAAATTCCATTACATCCACCAAAAAGGTTTGGGATATGATCAAACGAATCAGTGGTCAAGCATCCTTCAAAATAATGGGACTTTTGAAAACAAATGAAAAACTAGCCACATCGATATTTGATATTGCAAATGCTTTAAGATCTGCCCTTTCCAACAAATCGTCTGCAAATAAATAATCACTCCAAGAAACTTTAAAAAAAATTAAGAACACTCGAAAAAAAAATAAATTGAAATTCTCTTCCGAAAACACCTTTCTCAATATTGATATTTTAAATTATATTTTTAGATCAGGTTATGTTCCAAAGTCATTGAAAATGGCAACTGTGATTCCTATCCCGAAACATGGTAAAGACACGACAGATCCATCCAGTTACCGCCCAATGTCACTCACGAGTTGTGTTTGTAAAACTCTAGAGCGGATGATAAATTCAAGATTAATTAAGTATCTAGAATTTTCAATAGGACATTAAAAAATTAAAACTATGCAAAATATTATCATAAATTGAAAGTATTGAGTCGGTATGTAATATGTATTAGCTCTCGTCATATTTTATGGCTTTGTACAGGTCAATAGAAAACAAGTTCCCTTGGTCGTTATGTGTCACAATATGGAGACAACCTATACAATAAATGTATATTGAGCCTATATCATACCAGTGAATCCTAGAAGGAGTGAGTATTTACTTCTAGCATTGGACCAAAATGAAGAGACCTATGCCTAAATGATGACGGTCTTCCACAAATGCAGTCGTGCTCTGTTGTAAATACGCCGCCACTAAAATGACTTGGGTGGTCGGGTGATAAAGCATTCGCTTTTCGCCAAGGTGTCCGTTGTTCGATTCCCGGAACGGACGTGAAAAGGTAAAGGGTCACCTGCCCGAACACGAAGGTTTTCTTTAGAACCTCTCACAACAAGACCCTCCCGCGCTTAGTATAACTTGAAAATAACTGGTTTCGTAATTGTTGTTAAATAAAGTTATACATTCAAAATTACTGAAACAGTGAGCGATATTCCTTCCTATCGACGTTAAGCGAGCAATTATACTTAAAAGTTTCAGATTTTTATTTTACTTTTCAATCTCCTATTATATCGCTGACCGACAACTATTGAAACTCTGTTGATTTACCAACTGTGTGTCCTGATATTGTGTCAGTGTTACTACATCGCGCGCGGTGATATTTAAGTTAAGGTCCCTGTCACAAAAGATTTACCTTTGTCTATATATGTGTTCAGATCAATACGAGATATAGACAGGACTTAGGCTTCTATCAGACAATTTCAATATCTCAGACGACTTTCTCACTGAACAGTCGGAAAGCGTCAATAATACCTTAAAAACAGGATATTGTCAATTCCTCATCTTGTTATATGAATATAAACGGCTTCTGTAATACGTGCTGTACATCAAATGATGTAACCCAATGTGATAGTATAAGTCACGTGCCAAGCATTTTTGTCGCTGAAAAAAACGTTTTATATAATATCACTGAAATGTCTGGTTATATTCTTGCAAACTGCGGTTAAGATAAAATTTCATGTTAAGTATGAGTATCATGAATAAGGTCGTTTCCGTATACTAATTATAAATATCATGGTTTCTGCGAAGAATTTTAATGTTGAAACTTAAATACTGTATTTGATTGAATTGCACATCAAACGAACGCGTATTAACAAGTAACACTTATTTTGTCAAGTATTCGTATATTTTTCGATATATTACTCAACCCTTGTTTCAATGACATCGTTTATTTTTTGTGAAATAAAATCTTCAGATTTTCGGAGATACATTCCATACGAACATAAAGAGCAGGGTATTAGTCGTATCACGGGTAAACTTAAAGCGACATCACGGTAAAACAAATTATCATTATTGAATCTTTACATCAAGTGTATCACCTTACGAAGAGAAACAATTGATTTTCGCTGTAATTTACAAGGATCAAATTATTTGATGCATATAGTGATTATGCAAATGGTGACAAATAGTCATGACATCAGGATCATGGACTACAGACCTGTTTACATTTTAGATTTCGAACCTCGGATTCCTTCAAGAATGACAGGCCTAATGCATTTACTTCATTCTGAAAGTAAATCCAACACAGCATGCTCTCGTTTCACTCACTAAGTCAGGTACTAAAATCCACATGCCAAATGATTTTACTTTATTGTGGGAAGTTCATGAGAACCTCTTGTTGTCTTATATTTTGGATAATGCGACACGAGTGACTTTGTGTTCAATTGAACCGTAGTTGGAGGCAGAAGGAGAACACTGAACAACAGAGCTAATGTCAGTTTCTTTGAGCTGGTGCAACGTTTGCTTGTAATCGGAAAGCTTGGAAGCAATAAGCTTATAATAATTAGAAAATGACATGGTATTTCTGTGTCCGAACTATCGTGGGATATTACACTTCCGGTTGAAATGTTACTGATGTTATCACTAATAGTATCCACTTCCTTGTTTCAAATTCTACTTCATTGTTGCCACATCAGCAGTAATTTGATGAGGTCTCCTTGCTAATTTCCAAATATTACCAATCTTAATGTTATCCTCCAGCAATTTCCGTAACACTGACAGAGGAAGCGAATATATATAATTTGATCATGGTGAACACTTGGCAATTTCTGTAGTCTCCATAAGTATTCAGTGTTAACAAGAGTATACGGCAGGTTTATAAGAATTTAGCCATTCAAGACTACGATAATGTCTCCTTTGAGACTAAAATACAAGCTTATTTGTCCATAATAGTTTTGTTTAGCCCCTATGCGATACAAATAAGTCCCAGACAGGTCCTCTCTGTCATACTTGTTAGATGTAAGGTTCCACCCGATCAGACTTTACAGGTGTGGGTCAGAGACCGGTTTAGATGATCGTAACCCCTGAGAGACGAGGATGACCATAGCCAAGGCACCATCGAGTTCACACCACGATTTGTTTTCACTTGCATTCTAAGGCCGCTCTATCAGTCAATAGTTTGATCAGATTACACAACCGAGACCAAATATCCAAAAATTAAGTTCACGAAAGAAGAAAGACAACTCGCGGTTTGGTCATGACTTTACAACTTTACGGTGTTGTTGGTATAAAGATATTGCATCATGTACTGATTTACTATTTATAGCGTTACATTTTTCAAAGGCCTACCTTTATCTTTAACAAAGTAAGTCTTTCATTCCTAATACGTGACAGCTGCTGTCAATCCTCTTCCTCCTCTCGAGTTAAATCCACTCCGTTAGATAGACGATTACGTGGATGCAGGGTGATGTTGAGTTCTAACATTCAAATACCCAACACATTGTTACAATATCTGGCCGAGATATCCTAGTATGACATTTCTTACTTATCTTTTATAATCCAATATGCAAAATTTGTTTGCTATGTTACACAGTTCGTATACTGTAAACGTGTTTATTTTGGCGAAATCAAATTTTTGCGCAAAAACAATTTTGAACAAGTAAGCAGAATGATGAATTTTTCGCGCATTCGCAATATTTGCTCTATCACTGAGATACAGGGACTACACTAAGCGTTGTGCTGTTTTCGCGGAATATCTTTTGCGGGAAAAGTGTTTAAATAAGCTTATCGACAAATGTTTGTTCACAGTATGTATTAATAATTATTGACCGGCGAAAAAAAACATGAAAATATAACTTTGTATTTACTAGTATAGTGTTTTATTACGTAACTACTGTATAACACAATAACACAAATAATAATTAGAGGGTAACATTAATCAGACTGGTAACAGGAACACGTCACTTGGGGTAATACTGCCATTATCACTTCCGGGTACCATATCATCACTTCCGGGTAGGATTAAACATTGCACAACATGCGTTAGATTTTTCACTTGATCTTTGAGATTATAAAATCCCATACTAATCAAGAATTAAAAATCCTGATGTAGGTTTGGGAAGAGAGGTACCCATAACTTCAGACCACAGACAGTCAAAACAACATTCAGATCAGGTACTTTCCCATACATTATAAAGATTCTCGATATCACTCTAATTTGGTAGCTGTTATAGTTTGTGTGGCAGGCGTGTACGCAGAGCTTGTCCACAGTCCGAACAAAGCCACACCATGACAAACATGTAGGGCTGAACTACTGAAGTCGGTAGAGGGATATGTGTTCCATGACATTTCTATCATCCCCAGCAGCAACAATCTGTAAGGTCAAAGGTCACATTGTTAATATTATTGTCCAAGTTCTAATTCAAAAGACATAGTGGTTAGATAGGCCAAGAAAATCGAAGTTTCATGAATTTGAGAATTTTGAAAGTGGTAATTAAAAAAAAAAAGAAACAGAAAAATATAAAGGTGAAACATCTTGAAACCCAATCTAAATCAGATAAGTTATTGAGGTCCTGAAATTCTACAATAAATGCACATATTTATCAATAGCCCTATAAATTATTATGCATTTGTATCTAATTTTAAACAATATTTTTACAATAGCATCTCTTCAACTTTGGTAGGGTCATGCATCCTTCTCCCTCTCACCACGGATTACCTATGTATTTATTTAACAGATTTTTACATCAACTATTAGGGCCTTTCAATCTTTCAGCAGACAAACACTCAGATAAACACGACCTGTGATCCCATGTAGAGTGTGTTAGACTATAAACACGACCTGTGATCCATTGTAGAGTGTGCTAGACTATAAACACGACCTGTGATCCATTGTAGAGTGTGCTAGACTATAAACACGACCTGTGATCCATTGTAGAATGCGCTAGACTATAAACACGACCTGTGATCCTATGTAGAGTGTGTTAGACTATAAACACGACCTGTGATCATATGTAGAGTGTGTTAGACTATAAACACGACCTGTGATCACATGTAGAGTGTGTTAGACTACAAACACGACCTGTGATCCTATGTAGAGTGTGTTAGACTATAAACACGACCTGTGATCACATGTAGAGTGTGTTAGACTATAAACACGACCTGTGATCACATGTAGAGTGTGTTAGACTATAAACACGACCTGTGATCCATTGTAGAGTGTGCTAGACTATAAACACGACCTGTGATCCTATGTAGAGTGTGTTAGACTATAAACACGACCTGTGATCCTATGTAGAGTGTGTTAGACTATAAACACGACCTGTGATCCTATGTAGAGTGTGTTAGACTATAAACACGACCTGTGATCACATGTAGAGTGTGTTAGACTATAAACACGACCTGTGATCACATGTAGAGTGTGTTAGACTATAAACACGACCTGTGATCCTATGTAGAGTGTGTTAGACTATAAACACGACCTGTGATCACATGTAGAGTGTGTTAGACTATAAACACGACCTGTGATCACATGTAGTGTGTGTTAGACTATAAACACGACCTGTGATCACATGTAGAGTGTGTTAGACTATAAACACGACCTGTGATCCTATGTAGAGTGTGTTAGACTATAAACACGACCTGTGATCACATGTAGAGTGTGTTAGACTATAAACACGACCTGTGATCACATGTGTTAGAGTGTGTCCACATAGAGTGTGTTAGACTATAAACACGACCTGTGATCACATGTAGAGTGTGTTAGACTATAAACACGACCTGTGATCCATTGTAGAGTGTGCTAGACTATAAACACGACCTGTGATCCATTGTAGAGTGTGCTAGACTATAAACACGACCTGTGATCACATGTAGAGTGTGTTAGACTATAAACACGACCTGTGATCACATGTAGAGTGTGTTAGTGTGTGTGTTAGACTATAAACACGACGAGTGATCACTTGTAGTGTGTTTTAGACTTTTTACACTACGTTTGATCACATGTAGAGTGTGCTAGACTATAAACACGACCTGTGATCACATGTAGAGTGTAGAGTGTGTTAGACTATAAACACGACCTGTGATCACATGTAGAGTGTGTTAGACTATAAACACGACCTGTGATCACATGTAGAGTGTGTTAGACTATAAACACGACCTGTGATCACATGTAGAGTGTGTTAGACTATAAACACGACCTGTGATCCTGTGTAGAGTGTGTTAGACTATAAACACGACCTGTGATCACATGTAGAGTGTGTTAGACTATAAACACGACCTGTGATCACATGTAGAGTGTGTTAGACTATAAACACGACCTGTGATCACATGTAGAGTGTGTTAGACTATAAACACGACCTGTGATCACATGTAGAGTGTGTTAGACTATAAACACGACCTGTGATCCTATGTAGAGTGTGTTAGACTATAAACACGACCTGTGATCCATTGTAGAGTGTGCTAGACTATAAACACGACCTGTGATCACATGTAGAGTGTGTTAGACTATAAACACGACCTGTGATCACATGTAGAGTGTGTTAGACTATAAACACGACCTGTGATCACATGTAGAGTGTGTTAGACTGTGTGATCACATGTAGAGTGTGTTAGACTATAAACACGACCTGTGATCACATGTAGAGTGTGTTAGACTATAAACACGACCTGTGATCACATGTAGAGTGTGTTAGACTATAAACACGACCTGTGATCACATGTAGAGTGTGTTAGACTATAAACACGACCTGTGATCATATGTAGAGTGTGTTAGACTATAAACACGACCTGTGATCACATGTAGAGTGTGTTAGACTATAAACACGACCTGTGATCACATGTAGAGTGTGTTAGACTATAAACACGACCTGTGATCACATGTAGAGTGTGTTAGAGTGTGTTAGACTATAAACACGACCTGTGATCCTATGTAGAGTGTGTTAGACTATAAACACGACCTGTGATCACATGTAGAGTGTGTTAGACTATAAACACGACCTGTGATCACATGTAGAGTGTGTTAGACTATAAACACGACCTGTGATCAAATGTAGAGTGTGTTAGACTATAAACACGACCTGTGATCACATGTAGAGTGTGTTAGACTACCTGTGATCACATGTAGAGTGTGTTAGACTATAAACACGACCTGTGATCCTGTGTTATATAAACACGACCTGTGATCACATGTAGTGTGTTAGACTATAAACACGACCTGTGATCCATTGTAGAGTGTGCTAGACTATAAACACGACCTGTGATCACATGTAGAGTGTGTTAGACTATAAACACGACCTGTGATCACATGTAGAGTGTGTTAGACTATAAACACGACCTGTGATCACATGTAGAGTGTGTTAGACTATAAACACGACCTGTGATCCATTGTAGAGTGTGCTAGACTATAAACACGACCTGTGATCACATGTAGAGTGTGTTAGACTATAAACACGACCTGTGATCACATGTAGAGTGTGTTAGACTATAAACACGACCTGTGATCACATGTAGAGTGTGTTAGACTATAAACACGACCTGTGATCACATGTAGAGTGTGTTAGACTATAAACACGACCTGTGATCATATGTAGAGTATGCTAGGCTATGTAAGGTGTTAAGGTGATGCATTTGCTTTCTTTTTAAATAGATGCTGATTTTAAAAAATATATACTTATTATCAAATGATTTTTTTCAAATACTAAGTAATAATACAGAGCAACTTTAATAATACTTTAAACCATGTGTTCTTGTGGGGCTCAATTTTTGAAGTATTTTTAAGCAAAAACGTTTTCATGGACAATTGTATTTGTGGATATATATAGCCAAACAAACCTTCTTATCCTGAATTTAAGAATTTATCGACATATCAATTCATGGCTTGAGAGTACTCATGAGTCATTGAAAATAAAACCTCCACGAAAATCAATTATTATACAGTAATATTTTGCAAAGGTGAAGAAAAGGACACTAAACCAGGTTATTTACACCTTCTTTCACAACCCGACAAATGGTTTTCTTACAGCAAAAACCATTTACTTAATTGCTAGTAAAATCATGTCAACGAAATTTCAACAAAACAATAGGCCCATGGGCCTTAATGGTCAACTGACATAAAAATACAAGATTTCAAATTTTGAACTTGTGAAGAAGTCGAAAATGTGTTTTCAAGATGGCGGCCATGGTGGCCATGTTGGATTTCGGACCTACCTGAAATTAACAAACTTTGGTCAGGTCAATGTCACGATCATTTCAGGTAAGTTTCAGCTCAATGAGACATATAGAACTTGAGAAGAAGTTGAAAATGTTTGCGACGGACGCCGGACAAAAGGCGATCGCAAAAGGCCATCAGACCCGTCGGTCAGATGACCAAAAACTAAAACTGAATAATGGTCATGATTATTGTTATGCTGTTAATCAATTTTGCAAATGCACTACTAGCAATATAAATCAAATACACTATCAGCAGATAAACCATTTTACAAGGAAAAAAGTATCCTTGTTCCTTTAACTTACCTCACTACAGTAGGTAAGGGTGTAGCCCAAAGTAGATAGTGTAGTGTATGGAAATACCACACGTAGAACTGGTAGTGTAGAGACCGGCTAAAACACATCCCTATAAAATTACAGGTAAACAATGGCAGGACAATCTGTATTTCTGAGTTAAGGATCTGTAATAACGAACTTTACCTGATAAATATCACATACAATTTATACATTGAAAATGTTGGCCAGGAAATCTATTTCATGTGTATTATTACAATGTTAAACATTTTATAAAAACCTGATTCTCCGTTCATATCTAAGTTATTACCTGTGAACAGTAAGCACTACTCATAGGATTTAAACAAGTCATGGTGAAATTTGGAAGGAAAGTCAATATTTCCATCAAAACAGCCAGGACAAAGTGGCATTAAATGTATACAGGGTTCACAAAACAAATTGACAACCATTTTGCAACAAAATGTTGAACCAAACTCAGAGGCTGATGAAAAATCCCTACTACAAGGAAAATGTGTGTTAAAGGGTTAGAATTACCAAGAAATTATATATAAACTTTTGATGCTTAACTAATATCAAATCTAAATACATTGTATATAAATTTATCTATACCTGTATGTATAACCAGTTGAAAGATTAAATACAAAAGGTATTCCATCAAACCTGGCGCTTTTAAACAAATATATGTGGTCATGAAAGGATTCATAATTACAAAACTTTGTGTTACCAAAGTTAAATTAAACAACTAAATCTTTTGAAAGTTGCTGGACCAGAAAGTTTTGGACCATTAAAAAATAAATCAGATCAAATGTGTTGTTTTTACCATTACACCCTAACAGTCCCTTATATCAAGAAAATAGCCCAAGTCTGACAAACATTAAACTTGCTGCAAGAAAACAATTTATGTTGTAAATTGTAAAACATAGTATTTTCTATAACATCATATTGCTCAATGAGACAATCTACATTTCCTTTCCAGCATCACATTCTGACAGTCAACATTTTTTTGAAATGCCAGGTGTTGGCATTTCTGGAAGAGATTTCACCGAAGCAACCACATTCTGATCAGTATTGAAATCATTGACTTTACAATTATGTTTTGGATAAGTATTCATGCCCTCCTCGTCCATCAATACGAAGCACTTCACTTAAAGGCTTCGAGCCACATATCTCCAACGTCCTTGAAGTTTTCACATTCTAACACACCACCACAGCTTTTAGCCTTTTTATTTCCTACCCTCACAAATTACTAAAAAAGCAGAGTACACAACCTGCTTCCATCATGCCCCTACACACAAAACAGTAATCACCAATATTTATTGAGCTTTGCAAGAAGAAGAATTGAAGCGTTCTGATATAAGTGACAAATCTGTGTTTTGAATCACAGACCTGTTAATGGAACTGTACTGATACAAACTCTATTAGCTGAAGGTGAATTGTAAATATCCAGGATGTAGAAGCAACATTCTTCTTTCAGTCAATAACTCAGCTGCAACCTGGGAATCAAGTCAAAAAGCACTGTCAAGAGGTATTAGGTGTAGATCTATGTAAAATTGAATTTGAATATGTCTCCATTCATGTGAGTGCAATGTTATACCAGACACTCAAAACAAGCTTACAGTTAAAGTCACATTTATTTTTCATGACCAGACACTTTCTGTCTCACTGGAAATGAGAACAAGTGCAAACTGTGGGTGCAAAAGCCTATTCAACATTGAGTTCCACTATTGAGATAAAGCAAAACCGGTTCACTGTTCCTTCAGTAAAACTGATATAATCAGGTCTCGAATTTCACATTTTTGTCACTTGCTGTAAAAAGCCAGTCATTATTTTTGCTACTTCCAATTCTTGGATTTCTACTTGCAAATAGCCAGTAAAAAGCTTTAAATTCTAGGCTTGATAATGTTGTGTAACATTATAAGTGAAATGACTCACTTTTTCACATAGACACCCAAACATGCCTTGTTTGTAATATAACCCACCAGCATTACCCTTTAAAAAAAGAAAGACGATTCTGGAAGATGTGCTTTAGTAGTTCTCGATGTTGGTACAAAGACATGTTGTAAATATTTCAATATCAATATAACTGGAAAATCTGCCATGATTTCAAAAGCCGTCATCATACTGTCAACAAGTCCTAGCACATGCAATCCTTTGATAGATATTCACAGTCTGTGTTAAAAGGATATGAGTTGGTGACAAAGGACCTCCAGATGATTTCATCAACAATTGGAATTTTGTTCCAGGAAATAATCTAAAACAAATCAGCAGTCACATACAATGGTGACACATTAAAACACCATTAAACAGTTTTATACATTCCATTACAAGGATAGTTCACAACTGTAAAGATTGTATTGCAGATTTTACAAAAAAAAAAAAAACAAAAAAAACACTTGTAACAAAAATTAAATTCCTTTTACAGAAGTCATGAACAGAATTACATAAAAGCCCTCCCCCTCCCATTAACACATAAAAACAACATGGTTATACACAGTGGATATTGTACAAATGACAGGAGTAAATAGCTCCTTTCAATAAAAATTCTGATGTAGAGAGATTTGAGTCACATAATGACTTAAACTGCATCATACAGCAGAGAGTATTCAATTAATACAGGTATCCAAAATAAAATATATTAAATTTATGAATATTGAACACTTGTGTTGTTACTGTATTAAGTTAATCAATAATATCTACTTCTTACCTTTTCCATTTAAACCAGAAGAAAAGTAGGAGAACTATCACATGTGATGCTAATAACAACAGGTGGAAGTAGCGATTTAGGAACATTTCTTCTGATAAAAATCTCCAGTTAACTGTCCATTTGAAGAAAAATTGTCTTCCCAAATTGAATGACCTAGCTATGTATCCGATTGGATTTACAAGGAGGAATGGCAATCCCATCACAATCTGAAATAAAGATTGACATTCTTAACATCAATTATACAGGAAACAATCACTTTAGAGTTTTTGTGAAAGTCACAATCTAGATATCAGATTTATACAGAAGTGCTTAACTTATAGAAACCATCACAATAGATCTTTCACTACTAGGAAATTCTAAATATTGTTTCCATACAGAAAAGCTTAACAGAAAACATACTAACAAGTTCTAGAACACCCATCCAATGTTGACAAAAAAGCTGTTATCATGAAGTTACGATTAATATTATTGGTATGTCTTGTGAACGGATTCCACAGCCTTCCTAACATGGAGACACACTCAACACAAAACCAGCTGTGAGAATGAGTCTACACAGACACATTTTTCTTTAGAATAAGGTAGATAAAGATATTAGGATCCAAAGTTATGTTGCCTCACACATTCACACATTGGAAGAGAAGACACAATTTTTAAGACCTACTGGCAGAGATCAAACTAGAGTAATGAACTCCATAACAGCATACTGACAAACACATTTTAAGGATGACAGCTGGTATCACTATCCTAGGTGGCAGAAGAAGGAAATATAAGCTAGACATCAATCCTTGCTCAATTCAGCATCAAGTTGGATTTTCTTTCTTTTTTTATGTCACCACGTACAAAATGAAAAAGAATCTCAATTGATATTGGTATTACAGACAGAAATAACAACAATTCTATGTCTAAGTGATGAGTCAGCCTTTTTGTATCCTCTACCTAAAGAGACTGGCAAAGAAACAATTATGGTGCTAGGAAACACTGGGCTATTAAAGGATCTTCATATGATTGAATTCCCTTGACTTAGAAATGATTGCTGTAAAATCTACTCTTGCAGCACTCTTTATGCCAATTTCCAAACAGAAAAAAACTGCCTTCGTAGCAAATTAACAACAGAGACATCCAATAAGATCAACCAGGATTCAATCAAAGCTAGAGATGACTACAGGACATACAAAATGTAGATTCTTCAGACACACAAAGGAGCATCACTTCATCAGCTGAAAAAAAAAACTAATCATCAATAATACACACATCACTTCAGCTAATTAGGGAAGGGTGAGTGATTTAGATTACACTGGCGGAGGAGAACCTCCTTCCAGGGTAAAGAGAAGATAAAATGATCACCCACCAAGTACACGCTCGCATAGATTATGTACAAATGATATACTGAAGGACATATGATATATATGTGGCTGTTACCTTCGCAGTACATAGCTAAACTTATCATATCAATGCCTTGGTATTCAATAATATATTTATGGAATATTTTATGCATTACATATGTGACATAACTTATAGTGACGTCAGCTTTAGATAATGAATGATGTCACACAATCACAAGTTCTATTGTGACTTAACAAGGAAGATCCTAGATATAGAGCTGAAATGAATTAATCACTGATGCGGAAATATCCTCTTTTTAATATATTTGCCTGAATAATTACTCATGTGATATGTGAAACTGTAAAAATGTTCATAGACTTGTTTCGTAATTCACACATCTTAAACTTTTGTAAGATTCTATTTGCACAAATAATATACACTTGTGATGTAAATGTCACCTACCTGTGAAGTAGCACATATTGTTAAATATTTTAGAGAACCAACTGTTCCATGTCTCACAACCAGTAACATCAGTAGAGCTGGGGCAAACAGCAAGATGTTCATCTTCACACCAACACCAAAACTGTAGGAATAGCAACATTATACATATAAAAGCACACCTATATTATAGTACATTTAATAGAAGATATTGTTAAACAAATAGAAGCAACAATTATAAATACACCAATATGAATTACAGACTACAAAAACATGTTCAGGATCATTGTGCGTCAATCATTTTGTTCTAGCCAACATTTGGTTTATTGTTGCTTTAGGTTCTATTAACAACCATGGTCATTTAAGGATGTGACAGGTTTGGGTGGTGGAAGAAAGAGGGATTTTCCAGTCAGTATCAGTAGATTGCCCTAACAGGCCTCAAACCCATGACCCAGAGATGGACAGCAAGTGATAGAAACAGTCAGGCACTTTAACCACTTGGCCATGGTGGTTCTTTCCCTCTAACCAACAGGTTCAAAATTGACGAAAAACCTAAATAGGTACAAAAACTTGGGAAAATCCATCAAGTTTGTCTAAAAGCACTGGATGGGTTTTTCTTGAATTTCAATTGCATCCTCTGCATTTCTTTGGTAAACAATTTTAGGTAAGAAATACACCAAGCATCACAGAAGAATATAACTTCCCAGAGAAAGAGAGCATAGATGTCAGAAATACATAAAGGGTATTTCTGTTTGTACCTGAACATAAGACAGCCCCATCCCCAGCTGTCCCTCAGGAACAAGTCCACTGCCACATACAGAAACAGCATGGCTACCGGATCATTAAACAGCCGCAGGACGTAGATGGAGTGGATGCGGTAGGAAGCACAACACATGAAGAAAAGGACATATGGTGGTACCTAAAAATGTCAATAGTAGGCATGAAAAAAGAGTCAGAACATTTCATTCTGGGCCATATTCAGTTTAAAATCATAATTATACAAGGAAGTAACATTTGACATGACATCTTCAATTTATCTCTAGACCTTTCATAATCAAGATCTCTTTATTTGATGAAAAAAAAGAGAATAATGGTTCTTGTGCACTGCACTTCTCCTTGTTGAGATTTATCTACATATGAAGTTTTATGTTGATATCTCTTATAGTTTTCTTACTATGATCTGCAAAAAAAATTATTTAGGTATGAAAAATGAAAAAGGGCAACAACTCCTAAATTATGCAAAAGAGAGTGATGATGCTTGTGCACTGCACTTCTCCGTAATGAGATTAATATACATATGAAATTTTATGTTGATACCTCTTAAAACTTTTGTGTTATGCTCCGGACAAAAGGACAAACTGATATACATACAAAGCGGTGACTATATGATCTCCCTTTGGGGAGCATAAAAAATAGTTTATCTTAAAGTTACTACTTCCTTTAACCTTTCCACTTATTCCTGAACCCTAAGAAAAAGACACTTTGTTTTTACCTAACTAAATCTCCAAATTCATCCAAAAATTTCCTTCTGGTAATCTGGTCTATTTGAACTACCAGTTACTTCAAACACATGATTTTTGTTGATGAAACAACAATATTCCATCTAATCAAAGTTTGAACCAAGCTTATTTTTCTTTAATCAAATTTTCAGAATATTCAAACACAACAAATTCTAAATATATGTTGATTCGTCAAATGATAAAATGGTTACCAATTGATAAATAAAATGGAAGGGCAATTAACACATGACATAAGTCCACAATCTACACAAAAGAAAGTTAGGCTATTTTACTGTGTCTTTACTTCAGGCAATATGAAAATGGTTATTCCATCAATTCATATTACATAAATCTTTAATGGATTTTATTTCAATTTTTTTTTTCAAAATTGATTAATCTAATTTTTTTTCTCATCCATGTATTGCATGCATTTTCATAAATTTTAACCATTTTAACTCTATGTAAAAACTAAAAAGGAACTTATAACTTTACTAAGTATATACTAAAATTCATAAGGATACATGTATGGCATGTATAAAGAAAAATTTAATAGTTAATAAATAATTATTAAAAACAATTCTGTGACCGTCTTTGAGAATGAACTTACCATGTTGGATAAGAATTACAAATTCAATGAAATTTGTAGGTATTTACCTGTTTGACTTGTCTGTATATATCAAAGATGACCATTAGAGACAGGACATACAAGGCAGCAAAAATGTACTGAGCCAGTACAATGTTTACACCCCTCTCTGTTATGTGGTACAGTCCCAGGAATATATACACAAAGCCTGCTGGGTACCTAACAATTAAAAAGAACAACAATATTGCAAGCTGTTAGAAAAAAAATATTCTAAATTTTAGCAGACACTAGATATGATTACCACAATTATACGGGAAACTTGATAAAACATTTACATATACATGAATTACTTGAGATAAAATAATGAAACAAACCCATATCAATAATGGGTACCCACTGAAATATTCATAACAAATCTAATAGTACAATGTACATAGCAAAGCTAATTCACCGAGGCTATCCGTTGTCTGGTGACAGCGAGTGCTGGTGAGATATCTTTACATATGACCGACTCTTGTTTCAAGTATCAAGGGGTTATGTGTGCCAGCATACTGTGCAAAGAGATACAAAAACCAGACTTGTAAACCATTTAGTATTTTGGAACTCTGCTGGTTTTTTGGACTAAAATATTTGAGTCCTGGTCACTTGCTTTGCTCACATTTTTGAAACCCATTATATTTCTTTGAAACTGGACTTATCAAACTTTTGGATATGGTACTCTGCACTCACCAGCAAAAAACCTACAAAAATTACTGTGGAATGTAGCAGAATTAGACTAACAGATAATTGTTTGAGGGTCTTTCTATAGATAAGTGAAAGGTCACAATGTGCTTCCCTTCCTTGCTACACATGTGTAATTTTTGTGTTTACTGATACATAATTACTAACAAATGATACAAAAAAACCCAAAATTGGGTACCTCGAGCTCGACAAATGTGTCACAGTGATTGATGATATAGTAGACCACTGTCTTGACTCTAGAGGTTCTTTTGACAGGTTACTGAACCTGTGTGTGGTACTAACATAAGCTGGTCCAAGTAGGATGACTGTACTTGATTGAATCTTTGCTATATTGATATCAATAGTAATGCAGAATCAGATCCATGTATACCGGTGAATTCAGTATTACAATGTATTTTCTTCTATTAAATATATATATATATATATATTGATATTCTTGATAAAAGATTCAGCATCAATATATGACAGTGTTAAACAAATCAACCACCTGATTGCCTGTTAAATTCTTGTACAAATTGTCTTAAACAATAAAATTATTAGTAGAGCCTAAGCAAGCATGATCTAGTGATGATACAGCTAGGTTTTAATACAAGTAGTGGCAATTGGGAAGAAATAGACTTACAAAAGTTTGAATTTATTAAATCAATTTAAAGTTTAGTTCAAACAATGAAATATCAGGGTAACACAAATTCCTGTCAATATTTCATACTGCTATTATCCAACTCAGGTGTCTGTAGTGATCAACTGCAGTTCAAGCCAGAGCATTTTCAATTAAAATATTTATAGGCCGTTGGATTTTCAAGGTGTTAGCTCCATCTACTCTAAATTATAAATACTGAAATACCAGCATGTATTTTAAGAGTTTGCAGAAAAAATATATACCAGGTAGATGTACTTCAAAGGTATCATGCACAATTATCAATAACCTACACCAGTGGTCCTGTGTCGCCTTTAAGGGTCATGTAGTCATATGATCCATTCACCACTCCACCAACTTCCTGCATGTAGGCAATCCAGTCAATTTCTGTATCTGTGTCAAAAAAGAAAGGTAAATGATTTATAGACTACCATAGACATAGTGTCTCAGATGTTATGAAATAGTGATTTTTCAAAGACAACAATCGATTAACACACTACATTAATATTTCGTGGGCCATAATAGTAAGATACCACATATATAGATACATTAACAGGCTCCAACTTGTTATTTTTTACCTGAAAATATTTCATGTTTACATATGTATGTAGATTTGTTAACTGGGTTTATTGTCCTCTCAACAGCCAGTCAGCCCTGGGAAGGTGGCTATATAACTGAACAATTTGAGGGAGGCCTGTCACATGCCATTAAGTGTAACTAAACTACAGTGTTTTGCCAAAGGACACAAGCGTATCAGTCCATTTCACGGCTTCCTGAGAGACACATACTGCCACAAGTAGGGAACTTTGAATGACATCCCTCAAACCTTCACATGAGGTTGCACAAGCTTATTTTCTATAGAATTATATATGTAGATGAAGTACAGATGTCTAAAAAGCATAACATATGAGAAGCATGTTAATACTATGTTGAAAACCAAGGTTAAAGGTAACTTTTTTTATTAAGGGATCATAAGTTATAAACTTCAAAACCGAAAAATAAAGTCACAGGGTGTACAGGGGAAGAAGGTATGTTTTACAGGTGAAGTGATGTCGCTTGTGCTTCATTCCTTTTGTGATGTCATATTGCAGGTAGCATAAGGTGTGGATAATCATTTAAGGGAATGCTGAAGTCTGAATACGATATATAAATGTTTTGAACATGGAGGTTATTCAAAGTCAGTAGTGGAACTTGATATAAATGAAGTTTTATATATATAAATGATTAATATAGCATGTTGATCTTAAGAGTCAATATAATATTGACACATTTCCTCAAATATAGGCTCTGATTACAAAGTTGTATACTTTTCTAGAATTATACTACAATGTATTTTATATTTAGTTGGTAGATCTTTGTGCGTTTTGTCAATTAGATGTATGTTACTGTAACACTACCTGTATACACATGATTGTGGAAACTTAGACTGCAGTCATCATTTATGTAATTTCTTTGCTTTAGTTTTTAGATGAATAACTTTTATTTTATTTCATTAACTATGACAGAATATGAACATTTTTATCATATAATCAGCCTGTTATCCAGTGAATTTACCTTCAAAATATTTTTTGCACATTCTTTTAACAAGACTAATATACAAAGGAGCATTTTTTATTCTTTTGCCAATCAGAAATTGACTTTGCTAATATGGAGACAAAGACATAAGGTCATCTTAACTTTATTTTCAATTAATATGCGATTTTGGGAAAATTGTCTCAAAGTTTAAATTTTTGCTAATCAAGACTTGAAAAAAATGAATACTGATGATTACACATGTACATATCAATTCCTTTTGGGATTCCTCCTTCGCACTCATTTATATTGAAAGTTTGACAATGTCTGTCATCAGAATTCCAATGAGGGACATTGTCAAATATCCAATATAAATGAGGAGGAATCCCTAAAAGGCTCACTGTACATAGATAGTACACTGGATACAGGTTCTTATACATCTTTATCAAGATCCTCCTCCTGTGACTGTACGTCATCACTCCTAGTATTGTTTATATTAGTCTTGTAGTTAAAATGTAAGTCGTTAATTGACCAAAGTCTATTGAACCTATTTTCGAAAGATTCTAAGGTTGGCGTAACCACCACTATTTGGTAAGACTTGTTTCATAAATTCTCATATGAAATAAAAAATTATAGAAGATTTTATTTTTTCTACATAGAAAAGGAAAGTGAACAGTAAGCATTTTAGCTTGTGTTTTTCTTCTTCAGTCAACGTTTGATCTGTAGGGAAAATATGTATCACTATATTGTCATGCACAGAGGAAATCATTGCAAAATTGTTTCCCCTTATACCAAGATGTGAAAGTTGTGTCATTGATAAGAAACCATTAGGATAACATTTCAAAAGAAACTATAGGAAACTTCCATATATTATACCATACCGGCATACAGTTACGAAGCATGCAAATCAAAGAAAACAACAACATAATATTAATTACCCACTTACATTTTATGCGCTGAATCACCAATACATTAACAGCAATTTCAGCAGCAAGTAAGCAAAACATCGCCAGAATCGCATGACCAGGGTCGAATACAAATTTTGACCAATATTGTAGAGAAAATATCTCTCTGTGTTTTTTCCACGTCGTTCGCTTGGGAGCTGCCATTTTGAATGGTCATGTGACTGATACTTCCGGTGATTTCGGTACCTTTCTAGATTTTTCTTCAATTCCCGTTGCTGCTGAGGCTGAGGCCCAGAAAATAACATTATGGACAGGTATCTCTGGCTGTGTTTTATACTTGCCGCATGCTGGTTTGTAGTTGTTGAAAACACAGCAGAATACCAGATAGTTGATCAAAGGGTACCTTGTCCCTATTATGGTCTTGGTGAGTTTTATTACAAAAGACTTATATTGGAACAAACTCCAGATCTTAATACTATGAAATATTGATTTTTCCTTAATATTCTCAAGATCTTTGTGGAAAATTTAACATGAGAATGATAACTTGATTTATACTGGGTTAAATGCAGTTTAACAGATGTTTTCTTATGTGATATATATGTGTATTGATATTTCAAAATGCATGTACTGAATTATGTTACATAAATTTCTTCCATATTTAAGAAACATGTCAAAACACATCTTTATACAAATATGATTACAATGGAACCTTTTGAATGTACAATTAGCTGACAATAACAATGACTTTTTTATATATGGTAAACAATTAAATATTTTAGATACAGCATGTACAGTTTGTCATTTCAAATTATCAAATGATTCGATTTGTGGAATTTGTGTGAAAATATCATTCATGAATACCGACACAGCTTGAGATTTATTACCGTTTTGTCGTCCTTTCAAAAATCATGTAATAAGCAAGAAAAGGCGAAGTGAAGACAAGATATATCTTAAGAATATACTTGCATGCTCTTCATCACCTGCACCATTAACTGGAGGATTTTTAAAAAATTAAATTCCTGAATCCCTGAATGGATTATTAAAATGTTTTTGGCCAAGTTGAATGAGTGTTAAATTGCTTTCATTAGACCAGCTTTAAATTGTTAACATATCAGGAGTAGTCTCAAACAGTTTTACTTTTTTTAATTTATTCAGGTGGACTATATTGTTTTTTGTGTTTTTCTGAATATGATTTTGATTCAATGTTTTTTTTTGTACAGTATATGACCTTTGTTCAATCTTTTCCAGAGATCTCCTTCTGTTTTCTACCATTCTTTATCAAACTTAAGACTTAATCACCTATGACATAGATATATGTGTACTTGATCATTATTAATTGGATTCACTATTTTTTCTAAGTGTTATTGCTCTTAACTTTTTCAGCATTTTACTCTTGTTTAGATATTTCTCCAGTTTTTCACTATAACAGTTGGTAATCTTTATCAACAAAACATACAACTCTCTCTTGGTATTTTGACTTGACCAGTTTTGGAAGAGTTATTTCCCTTTGTTTTTGCCATCATTTTTCAACCAATTTCATTCGAGCATGCTAGGTTTAATTATAATGACATGAAACTGTGTCTCTATGTCTTTTTGTTCCTTTGCCGTATTTCTGTGCAATGAAGTGTTTTTTGGCATGAAACGAGCATATATATTATTCCATTCTTGTTCTATAATAATCCTCATTGGAGAATTGATAAATTGAAGTTACCATCCCATAACTTGATAGGATTGCTGGACATCAAGAGATAAACAACTGACGTCTGTTTCCACTTTTAGGGAATTGGAAACTGTAAATATGGTGTGAGGCTCATTGGGGAAATATTTTCCTTCTGAAGAAATGTGAAGTCTAGGATTTTTGTCTTAAATATCTATGTAAGCAATACAGGCCTTCTGGTCCTGTTCTTTTTTAATTTGGTTTACAAAGAATCAGGGAAAAAATACCAAATTCACTTCAAACCTTTCTAGATTACATCTCAAGAACTTTTCAACAGAGTTACTAGTGGATAACACATTATATGTGGTGGATAAGACATCACACTTTACAGCTGTTGTTGCGAGTGGATAACTCATTATATGTGGTTGAGAATATATCTCACTTTACAGCTCTTGTTATTCATTTACAGCTGTACATACCTTTGTATTAATTTTGTAATTTTGGTAACATTGATAATTTAACCATTTGTAAAAAATTACAACAAAAAGTGTGAATTTCACATACATAAATATACATGACATTTAAACCTATCATTAACATGATTCCCCACCCTTCTTCTCTTTTATCATAGATATAGGTGTTAGACTTCTCACATACATATTACACCTGACATCCTAATTCTAATACCTGTGCTAGGTTTTTGTTATTGGTATTCTCTTGCTTTTTATATATACATTTTGAATGACTGAAATTACGACCATTGGTGTTAAAATCTTTTTACCAGTAATGTAGTTAATTTCTAAATTATATTGATATTTTTGTTACAGAGAGCAATCGATTCACTATGAGCAACGACGGACTCGTAAACTGTTCATGGTATGCACAGAAAACCTGCTGTAAGCGAACTGAAGTGACATCTGTTTTCTCTAACATGTTTTCCCTGTATGGTGCCACGAAGAACTGCAAGAATCACATGAACTATCTCATGTGCTACTTCTGTGATCCAGAACAGTACCGCTGGTACAAAAGGTACCATCTTTAACATTAAATATTGATCAGATTTAAAACAATATTTGTGATTCTAACTGATCTTTAAATTATATCACATGATTAAATTTTGTATCACAGCATATCTGGTAGCTGTAGGCTGAGGTTAAGTCTTAAATTTGCGATATCTTTAATGACCACTGATGTAGCAGAATTTAATCGTAAGAGATATTAATAATTGTCCGGTCACTGTCTTTCTGTATGTTTTTAACATTGAAATTTTACCTACCAGAAATACATTGAGAAAAGATATCTGTACCATTGGATGACACCAGAACTAAGTGTAGGTTGGGAGGCTCACTGGTTGTGCACTCACAATCACAACTTCCACCTAGTTATGGAGTCATCTGCTGAACCACATGGTTTTATACCAGGCACTCTCACAGCAAAACCTTTCAGGCATTTCAGTCTGGGCCAGTATCAGTAATTTATATAAACTATACGAGCATGTTGTAAAAAACCTGAAATTTATAGTTTATATAGTTTTACTTATCTTATTAATGCTGAACAACATATTTTAAAATTTTTTGTCAAATCCATGAATTTATATGTCCCCAAAATAATGAACCAGAAAAAGTTGACATGGGTTATATTTGTTATTCTAGGAGATTTGATAGGCAAGATTTAACCTCAAAATCAGGATCAAAAGCCAACAAAAGTATAAATTTTAGAAAACATTGAAACTTGAGTACCATAAAAATTTATACATTAACTGTGAAGTACATTTTGAAATAGCATAGTACACTGTACTACTGATTGATTTTGATTGAAATCTGACAGCCTGTGTAACATCGATTGTACTTTATAACCAGAATTCTGTACACCATAGTGTCTACATAGCAATTAGTGTGATTTTAGAGTAAGGTCATATATTTGTATTAATTTTACAGTAAGGCCCATGTGTGTGCAGACTTCTGCAGAGCTGTGTTTGAACACTGTCAGGATGCAGAATTTGATGGCAAAAGTATTGGTAAGTATATTTGATAAATAATTCAACAGTTGATTTTTCTAGAAAAAAGAAAGCATACATATTTTTTATACTTGTTTGTGTTTACTTTTATCTACAACAACATTTCGCTGTAACATTAAATAAGAATTTTTATACAGAGTGAATTATTTTACTTTAAAAGTGGCCATGTTGTCAAAAATTGCCCAATGAACTACGTTTGTGATTTATATTTATATATTTTCTTTAAGGAACAAACTACCGTAATGGAACAGACTTCTGTGAGGCCCAGAACTTTCATGTGGTGGAGGGCGATAACTGTTTTGACTATGATCCTACAGTGTTTGGGCGGGCACAGATTGCACAGAGAGGCAGCTTGGAATTATTAGCAGCTTCAATCATAGGGTTTCTTTTGATTATTCAAAATTAAACTAGGGGACAATATTCCAATCACTTCTCATTTATCATCAGATAGCTTGCACAGCATGAGAGGTGGTATCAAATTAGTTTCTGTAAGATGTGAGTACTAGTTTAATGATGGTGTAGTCTAAGAAATAGAACCATTTGTCAAACAAAAGTCCTGTAAAGTCTTGAACTAATTAAGAAGTTATAATGTTGACAATTTCAGTTTCATGATCACGGCTTCCATTAGACCCCTAATTATCAAGATTCAAACCACCTTTTCCTCCAAATTTGGAAAATCAAAACTAAAATGACATGGAAATTGGGAGTCAAAGCAAGTTTTAGAAAGTCAACAACATAGTATTTAGGGTTACATTGTGGATGGAAGTTCTGATTAAACTTTACATTTGGAATGAAATGTCATACTAAGCTCATTACCGTAAAAACCCATGTAATGTCCGCATCTGTGTAATGTCTGCACCCCTTTTTTGACACAAAAATCTGGGGAAAAAACCCACCTTCCATGTAATGTCCGCGGGTAAAAATGCAAATTGAAGCTGCCGATTTCATTTCACGTAAGCTAATGTCGTAATGGCCGAGAGCATGTCGCATTGTGTATAACGTACAGGTGCCATTCAAGAATTCACTTAATTGTTTATAACAATAGTTACTCTCCATAATGGTACAGTAAGCTTACCAGTATGACAAGTCCTCATTTCGATAATTGGTGTTTTGATAAGGGTTAGCCCAGCAGTGTTATAAACAGCTTGGGTTGTCTCCTCACCTCGAGTTTGAGTGAGTGACAGCGTGTGATTAGCCAATTAACGATAACTATACAGTAACATGACCTGCCCACGTCCAAACCAACATCATCTTCAAAAGAAAGACAATGCCAAAGGGAAACTTTCCTAGTGACATACATGTACGTGTCCATGAGAAAGGATGGATGTCAGAAAATACAATGAAAGACTGGCTTAGGGTTGTGTGGGGAAGCCGTACCAACACCAGAGAGAAGTCGATACTTGTGTCATTTCCTCTATATCTCTGTAATGTCCGCACCCCCTTTTTTGGATTGATTTTCGATGAAAAATAGTGCGGATATTACATGGGTTTTTACGGTATATTGATAATTGTAAATAAATTAAGCATGCTCGTAATTACATTTCTAACATTGTTAACAAATTAAGTCTACTGATACTTGCTAATTACATTCCTACATACTTTATACAAAGCATGAAATTTTCATTCATGGTTGTTTTGTACAAAATATTCCTTACTCTACTAGCGATCTATCAGTTACATTCTTGAATACTGATGACTTAAAGATTTTTTATAGTGTACTTTACCAATTAAGGGCATTAATTAATTAGGAGATTATTTATTGATCTTAATCACTGTGATATGTCACTGATATTTAGATAGCAGACATATAAGATCATGTAGCAAATTTGAACCGTTTCAATAGACAAAGACCTTGGTGTAAGATTTAATTCATGCATAGATCACCTCATTTAAATTGACGAGAAAATAATCAAAATTCATTTCCTTGTAAGACCGGAAGACAAAGCAAATGATCACTTGTAATTCATTAGTTGACATTTTTGGACATACCTTCATCAGAATAGTGTAACAATTCAAAACCATAGGACTTGTGTAGTAATGTTGATGCCTCTACCTAGAAACTACACATATTGTAAACATTAGACATGATAGATAGTTCACAGGTTTTCGTGTTCTTTCAACTTATGTAAGTTGTGTATTGTGTTTTTTTCAAAAAGGAGACATCAGTCAGTAACTGATGTCAGCCAGTTACATGCAGACACTTCAGCTTAGTCTACAGTCAATGTATATCACATTGTTTCTGTTATTACTGTGTAGATTCACGTAACAGATGCAAAATGTTTGTCTATTAGCAATATGTATACAAAATTATATCAGTGTGCCTGGAGACATCAGTGAATGTAATATATCAAGTTTAACTTATTTTTTTGTATTTTATGACGTAAACATAGTGTTATCCATGTATATCCATCCCATCCTGTTCTGAACCAATGTTATATATCAAGAACTTCTCAACATATTTGGTTCATATATACTTCATAGTATTCCATTCTGATCTGACAGAGTTACTGCCCTTTATTACTCTCTGTCAGTACTGTAGTGATAAGCTTGATAGCAGATGGGAGCAGAGAATGTAGTATGCTTATATCAGTTAATTGGTTAAGGTTAAAATGTCAAATGTGACATTTGACCATTTTTGAAAATTAATCAAACTATGACACTGATAAATAATGGTGTATAACATCTATTTCTACATTTATCCATAAATAACTCCAGGATCCAAAAAATACAACCTATAACTCAAAAAGGACAATGTAGATAGTACAGAGCACAGATATCAGATATTGTCCATTTTAACTGAAACTTTAATGGATGTGTGTATAGGTTGATTTCCAATCATGGACTTATTTTTGGATACATAGGATAAATAACACTCCAAGTGTAAATGTTACCTTTTCAGTTTTTTCATATTTGTTTCATAATGCTATTTAAGAGAGATTGTAATTAATGCAGTTGTTTTGTTATTTAAAAACATGTTATACATTCTACACGGTTTTTGGTTACATGTGTAGTGATTGTTAGATTTTTTTATCAGAGAGTGATTGTGAAAAAATAGCAGCTTTTACTGTTATTTACAAACATGATTGATGAATTCTGTTTGAGATGTTTAATGTATTTTGTATATGCTATTGTCTCAGTATTATATATAACAAGATATTACAATATCATAGTGTTGTGTGACTAGACATCTAATCACAACATCATGTGTCCTCCTCATTTCAGAGAATGTAAAAAATGGTAAGTTTATAAATCCTGTACTCACAATGTCACAAAGTCCTTTATTGTTATAATGTAATTCAACAGGTTAACATTCACAGCATTTAAGTAACATATAGCTGTTCATATTCATAACATTTTTAAAAAGTTAATACAATACCAAAAATAACTTTTTTACTTTAAATTGATTTATTGTCCCAGCGTATAATTTTTGTCTCATCAGGGTTTACATAGTGGGGTTTGTTGATGAAACAGACAACATTTTTTCTACGGTACCACCTGATCTTATTCTCCTTATACTAACAAGGAATCTCCATGTTTTTTACCTAACAATTGATACTAGTCGTAAATGGCAAAGCAGATCTTGACTAAATTTGGATAGAAGTATCCCAAGGGAAAGGGAAACTAAATTTGTATGAGTGATGGATTTCAATTCCAAGGGACCTGAGAAGTAGAGCCCATAATGGGAAATTTTGAAATCCAACTGCTCCTGTAAGAAGGATTGGTTTTTTGCCAAATTTGGTCTCAAGCATTGTTGGGTGAAGGGGGAATACATTTTGCATAAATGATGGGTCATGGCCCCTTGGGGCAGGAGGATCTTGGCAAAGTTTAGGAAATAGATACAATTGTTTGAAATCCTAATCCTCTTGTAAAAATTATTGGATTTGACTAAATTTGGTCTGAAGCACTCTTCGGTGAAGTGAGAATCAATTTGGTATAAACAATTGGTCTTAGCCCCTACCAAGTATTTGCAGATACACAGTATTTACTTTTTCTAATTTATGCCTTTTGACAGGGTATTTTTTATGTAGGGAAAATTGACAGATTCCATTATTATTTAAACAAGTAATGATGTGTCTGTTCGATGTTAGTTAAGGACAGATATATGCCTCATCTTTCCACCTTTAAAAGGTATGTCTTCATTGATAATGTAGTTTGTACCAAACAAGGAAGGAGATTCTGACAATAACAATGCTTTAATTGAACATTATTGTTGAAAAAACTCATATTTGTTGTCTTTATTTTACACTTTTTGACTAAACCATAATTCTGAATGTTGATTGATTGTAACAACATCAAATATTAACCTTAAAAGTGCTTCGTGTTCAACCGTTCGTTATGATAGAAATCATTTAAGATATTGTCTCCATTTTGTATTACCAGATCTGGATAGTAGTTTAGATCTAAACTTTGTTTCTTGTTAACAGTAGCATATAAATCAGTGATATTTGAATCAAAGTGAGGTATTGTAGATCTTACATAGGAACATCGACACTTTAACCTTTATAAATATTGTGTATATCATTGTCACCTGAATTTTTATTTACTTGGTAAGTTGGTTTTACATCAGGTGTGTTTGTTAGTCTACATATACACCAAGTACATTTATTTGTATTTGGTAAAAGTGTTTAAAAGTTTAAATAAATTATGTTTTGTAGTTATTTGACATATTTTTTAATGCTGTTAAAATCTGTCTTTAGTTTCAGTTTTGATTGTTTTAAACTCTCTATTATACACTTGGTGTTATTCATCAATAATTTAAAATAATTCTTAATAATTTTGTGTTTTGGAAATGTTTATGACGAATTCATGGGATAATATTGATATTCAATATTTGTTTTGTAGATGTCTTTAGAACCAGACAAGGGTGAATTAAAAACTTGTTAAACTACACAGAGACTTGTTATGTCATAGCACCGAAAAGTTGTCACTCATTGCTCCTGATTAGCTGAACTATTGATAATTTAGTTAGATATGCAGAGTAATTGGAAATATTCCGATAAATAATGATCATACACGTGTATTAGTTTTGGCTATGGACTTATGATGGTACACGCCAGAAATGATAATAAAATGACTAAATCGCCGAATACATTATGACGACACGATAAAGACCATTGCTAAAGTATGAGCGGCCGTTTCAGGATGAAATACTATAACTACTTAAATTCTCAAGTAAAATCGCCTAAGTGAAAACAAGATTTAATCATTTTTACTCGGGTGTGAAATATTTTCACCGAAGTGTAAAAGAAATTAACTATCTAAAGAGGCTAAATGACTCGACAAAACACAACAAAGAAAATGCTTTCTGTATTTTGTAAACGTGCAAAGGAGATATAAGTATCTTCAATTTGTTTTCATCTATTGTGAGATTTATGATTGCACATTTTCTTTCCAGCTCAATAGAGACTCAATAAGATGAAAATTCTTTGACTCTGTCCACAAGTCCCAAATATCATGAAACAGATGGTGTAAGATTATGCAAATATCGTTAATTATATAAAGATTTATATAACGAAAGGATAATAACTTCTCCATTGAAACATGGTTAAAATTGGAAACATTTTTTATTGAATAAGTTCATTGATGTTTTATCGAGTTTATGTCAGAGATTGATACAATTATGTTTCATTATTGACGTAGAAGGATTAATCGATGTGTATTAATTTCCGGTTGTAAATATATATTACATAGATATGTTGTTGAATGTATTTACAATGATATCCTGATTTTAAATTGATTTTACTTTTTAAGTACTAATAAACGAGTGGAAATATACCTTGATTGGTTACAATATGTATTATGATGCCGTACTCGTGGCCATTATCAGCTCTACTTGATGAATTACAACAGCGCATACCTATAAAACCTGACGAAGAAAATATTCCGCTTAGAATACATAATTAAATAATTAAATATGCTTGGTTTGCTGTTGCAAAACGTAGATAAAATTATGAATAATTCAGTTGGGGATTTATACCTGTACATATATATACTAGCAGCGTACTTGTCTCCAAGTCCGACCTGCCGACCTGACACCGGTCTACCAAGAGATAGTCCGACTCTGCACTATTTAATGTTGGGACACTGGATTCTCAATGCTAAAGCTTCTTAATTCTAGAGGTAAGGTGTGCGTCATATTACGGTTTTTTTATCATACCGTTATTGTTAGATTTGATTTGACCGATGTCAGGGATAGACAAGATTATAATGAGAGGGGGCACCTAGGCAGATAACAGAATCTAATACATGGCTTCAGAACATGACACTACCTATCTTGCTTCTAGTAAATGGTGATTGTCGTCGATGAAGCGGAAGTCACTTACCCAATTTAGTTTTTTTTTAATGGTACAAATTAAACAAGGGAAAAAAACAGTTTTCGATAAAACATTTAGAATACAATTTAGTATATAGGTAAAAAGGGTACATCACACACCTGTTTCGCCTTTTGGGGAATCATCAGTGATGCGATTGTTTATTAAAATCTAACGACCTCTGAAAACTTAATAATAAATAAATGATAGATAAATGATACTCAACAATGAAACAAAGGATAGCTTTACAACAATGGATACGTTACAACAATGGATACGTTACAACAATGGATACGTTACAATGTTGAATGTAAATGTATTTCGTAAGGCGAAAACATCGGGGTGAATATTGACGGGGTTGTACGTTGATTCAGGTATCGTTTAGAAGAAGGAAATTTACAGTAGAAATAAACAGAAATCGCCTTAAATTCGCAAGGATGATGTCAGTGTTTTTTTATTTGTATTAAATGGTGTTATTCACTTGTGTGTCTTTAGTACAATGTTTTTGACGATGAGTCGGAACTAGTGAAATGTCACTTTTAGAAGAATGTTGATAATCCATTTGATTGTAAATTATAAATAAAACAACTTTAGCTGCTGACTTGTTTTGTTGACGGACGAGACTAGATTATTGAAGGGTTTATCAGAAAAAAAAACATTCCATTACCAAGTCCTTCAGTTTAATTCGTATATATGTTCATTAACTTTAAGTAACAAGAGACCTTTAGGTACTGCGTCAATTTGATATACTCTCTTGTAATCAACACAGGACTTCCGCTGGCTACAGACTGATGAAGACTAGGCAAGGCTAATCGTTGCTTGCATGATCATATTGGAGAGTATTCTAATTCCGTGAGCGAATGGAGGTTATGTGTGCTATATGTATTTAACAAAGTCATTGGTTTCATTTGTATTTTGAGAGAACATTTCAGCAAGTTGGGTATATCGTACGGACCATTACCGTTTTTTCTCTTCATAGATTTAAGACAGTTTAATTTCCCTTTTTCCTTTTTAATAGCCTATATGTTTTATTAGTACTGGATAAACAGTGCGGTTTTGTTGACAGTTTTTATTCTCCTGTGTTTTCTGTTACAGCTATGTTTTTCTATGCCGTATTTTATGTGATGATTGAAGTAGCGATACATCGTGTGCTGACAGAAGGTAAGTTCCTGTTTCATATACTGATTTTCATCTTATTGAGACTTGGAACAAAACAAAAAAATCGTTCTTGACTTGTTTAAGCAAAGATAAAAATGTGAACAAACGAGAAATCATCATGGAGATTCCTGAAACGTTACTAAGCGAATAAGGCTGTGCGTTTCGGTAGAGTAAGTGTATTCTGCTTCATCGACAACACTTGTAAATTTCGGTAAAATCAAGTACATCATGTTCCCAAATGAGAACAATGTAAATAACGACGGAATCAGACACGTCCAGCTTTCTATCGTACAAATAGAATACTTCTCAATGGGATATGGGGACTCTCGATACCGTGTATGAGTTCGTCTGTCCATTGTCGACATCTAGCCCGAAAATCGTGAAATTGGGATTTTATTATTGAATATCAAATCATTTGCAACATGTAAACACCATATTTTGGTGATGCAGGAATGTTGATATCCAGAAATGGTCAATTCACAATAGGGAAATTGAAATCGTCACGTCAACATATAGCCTATTGGGAACCTGTCCATTGTGGTTTCGTTGTAGGGAAAGATCGAGATAAGCGGCTGACGTATATAGGTCTATAATGTCCTTGAAGCCCAATACGGAATGTATCACCTGTACGATGGAAGTGGTCAATTAGATCTTTTTTACCTGTTTTGATAAGATATTCGACGATAAATGCAGTCTCGCATGAAAACAAAGACCAGTCGGCCAACAAATAGGCACTGTTCGTTCCCAAAAGTATGTTAATGTTGGAGAATATTACCACGAAGATGTCAGCCAGAAATTTATCATCTATATGATGTCGCTCTTCTTATATCTTCTCTTGGACTATTTTTTGGGAAATACGCTTCAGGATTGTTCATAACCATTTAAGGTGATTCTTGCAACGGTATAAATTTCCGCGTACGGATATGGACTGTTGCTTTTTTGTACTTAATGTATTTATTTTCGTGGTTTATGCTAGTAACAAAGATTGTAGGGAAGTTTTATTATAATGATATCATCGAGAAACGTTTTATTTTTTTGTGAAACTGGATATGTTTGATGCCCATTCGTACACTTGGCCATTCTGTTGTTGTTTACCTTGTTTCCTTTCGGGAACGTACCACTTACTTGGAATCAACCAAGATTTATATGGCGAGTGACGTCGATAAAGTAGAAGACGCTGATTCTTCCGAGCTACCTGGTCTTATTTTCTTTCCAGGAGTCATCTAAATCTATAACTTTTTTTGTGCATAATTTGTCATTGTTTCATCAAATTTAACTTTGAATTAAGATTCTGTTCATACGGTGTTGCTTCCTTATTACTGCAACCTTTTCATCATTTTTTCATACTTATCAGTCGTTATGATTGATTGCTGGCATTTTATGGGAAGTAATCAATGTTGGCAAAAGAATGTGTAGAGATAAAGAATAGAATATCTTATTGCATTAATCTTAATTCCACATGACCTGGTAAATACATATGATAAGGCATTTATAGAAGAGGGCATACTACATATATCGTTGCTGTTATCCTTACAGAACAATATGTTGGGATTTGTGGATCAGAACCTGATGGCCGTTATTGTTTTGGATTATCTACACTGTCATCGAAAAACTATTCCACAACCTTCAATGTCAATCAAACTTATGGAAATTGGTTCTGTCCAAAGGTGATTCAAACCTCTGAACCCTTTATATACACAAAGGATTTCAATGTATATCCTTTTAAACTCCGGGGCTTAAAATCTAACATCTCTATTTTTCTTCCCAATGAAAGCAGACCAATGGCCTATCATCTGAAATCTTTCCATGAAGTCTCAGGGACTAGATTTCTCTTAGCAGAATGCCTTTTATTTGCATGCAAATGCATCATTGTCAACACGAAACCCTCCATTGTACGTATACTCACCCTTAACAGACCGAGTACATCAATAATAGAAACAGTGCCTCGGAATATGACGAAGGTCAATCAGACATATACGATGACAAACGCCTTACAGATGGTCGTTGTTATGGGATCGCTATACGATACCTACGTAACAAGCAATGATTCTGTCACTGTGTTATGTTTTGGAGAAAGCATTCATAAGGCCCGTGGTATGTTGCAACTAACCCCATTGCCCTTGTCAGTTCAGATGGTTATGTCTCCACCTGCTTCAACAAAGAGTCCCTATCATATGATGTTATTGCGGCAGTCTCGATCTCAGGATTACTTGATCATGATTGGATTGAATGACTGTGAACAAGTTCCATCAGACTGGTTTACTTATGTTCGAAACTTTGACCCCAACATAGAATACCATTTGTTGCGTTTAAAGTGGAGTAACGTTTCAACAGAAGTGGACAGATATAAGCATGTTAACTTTAGCAAGGCAGAGTTTGATTACAAGAAACTGAAAATGGTAAGTCATAATCAACTTTTTATCAGCATCACACCTTTTCACATCAACTGATGCCATATATCGATACCATTAGATTTAGGAATGTACTTAAATGTGATACAATAAACGTTAAATAATCTTGGCTTGTCCTGAGATTGTCCCGTCAGGATGTTTGGTATTCACAATTATTGTTACCAGGTGCAGTTTCTCTTTGCAAACTGAGAATTTTGATCACAATCTATCGTATTGTTGCAAATATAAATCATGCAGAGGATTTCTGTTGAGTTAATAACATGACCAGCTTGTTATAGGTTACACACATAACACCCGCAATATCAACGTCAAGCCCAAATATCACCAACTATCCTGCGTCTTCCGTGGTCAGTGGAACAATGACAACTGGAACAGACATTCTAGCTCCAACCTCTGTTGGACACTTTTCGAAGACGTCATATGCCCCTGGCTCATCCACTTTGTATAGTAAGTAAATATTACATACGATAGTATGTATATACATATACCTTGATCATTCGGAACAACTTCAACGTGCATATGATAAATGGTGTTCAGCAAAATGTTATAGAAGACAATGGATGTAATGATGACCTTGATATTTACTACTTTCTACTATATTACCGTGGAACATCAGTAAATATAGCGTGGAAGTATAAAACTAAAGCAATTTTGATAATAATAATAAAGAAAATTATGATAAACTTTGATGTTTAATTTGCTATATTATTAAAGATATCCATTTCTGTTATTAAAAATCAAAAATATGCCACGTCCTGAAATTTATCAGAGTGACAAGAAAACAAAATGGCATGTCAGTGTTTATGATCGAAATGAAGATAATAATAATGAAACATATTCATAATATCTGCATTACCTTATACCTCTCAAAACAATTTCTTAAAATTTGTTTGACGATATTGAATATTCATCTCCGGTATTAAGAATGTACGTTATTCAGAACAAGCTTTAGTGACAGTGTACCCAAACTGTTCACGGAAGAATATACGTAAGCCTTTGCAAATAGTGTGACAGGATTCACATCATCACTTTAAAATACCAACATGTCAACATAACAATAATCAAACTCAAAGTCAATGAAACTGGGGCAAAACAAAAGAAATAGTTATACGGACACCTCTGCACTTCCCCGTTACTTTCATCATATTGTATCTTTTGTAACCATGTATTACGAGTTTGTCCGTCAGTTGACAACATTTACTGTTATCTTATATTTATGCCTATTAGCAGCTCATTTTCCCTGAAAGAAGGATTCGTGATGGGCAAGAATCACAATTTTATAATAAAGTAGAAAACAGTATTTGGCCAATCTCTGATGATATGGAATACACACATCACATGTCTGATATATCTATCATTAGGTGACCTTTCTTATCATGAGTTCACAATGAGATGACAGCTTTACATTATGACGTCAAAATCAAAAGTCTTTTCATATCATTGCTTATCTACTCATTGCCATCTTGTCTTCGGTAACTGACCCCATCTCATAAATAGAATTATTACACATGTGCTTGATGAAGAAATTGCGGTGTTTTTCTTTTCTTTTAATTTGAGGTATACTCATACATATGTGTACCGTACTTTTTCTTATGATATATGGCTTAGGGCTTAGAGTATATCAGTATGTCACATATGAATTGCGCTGTATTATACTCTGCACTTACTTCATCAACATCGTGTTGACCAAATATTCATTTAAGAGGTGATAGAAAAAAAAAGAAAACCATATTTAGGTATATGCGGTAATAGATATCCTTCTCTTGGGTGAATAATTTAGGTCAGAATCGAGGCCTTTGATTTGGGTTCAGAACCAAACCTCTGCCCTAAATTCTACACCTTCAGGTAAAATGTAAACATCCCATATATCTATATATGGTTGAATCCATTAATCACTAAGCCCGTTAAATAATAAATAACCTAAAATCGGCCATTGTTTTATGATACAATCCCTGCATTCTATCTATACTTAAAACCTTATATTCAAAGCTTAAGTAAAGACAACAAAATATAAGAAAAGAAATGAGAAAATAATGCCGATTATACAAACATGATGATGAACATTTCTTTAAAAAGAATTTTTTGAAGCTATTCTGTTTTTCCGTTTTCGATTGCCGCCTTGTCAACGTTCTTTTGAAAAACATTCCAAACGCCTTCTATCGATTACAAGTGAAACTAATGGTTTTGTTTCTGTATATTAATGTCTGCTCTTGAATTTGTCGCTTACAGCCGATGATTTGATATTACAGGACCATATACATATGTAGTGGGTATGTGTACGTACAGTTGTGACGCAGCTGTTGTACCCGTCAACACTAGTGACCCAATTCAAAAACAAATGTTAGAAAGACAGGTAAAAGAGCTGAAGAAATTGCTGACTGTGAATAAAACGGGACTTTCTTCGACTAGACGACGAAAGGAGAGTGCAATTGACCTTCGCATATCAGCTAAAGCTTTCGGGTTTGTCGGTACTGTCATGCTTTGCACGTGCATTATGATAATCATTTCTGCTGACATACCAAGATTGTCTCGGGCCATCCTCCATTTCAAGGCGCAAGTATGTAAATCAGATACGGTCCCGGTGAGACCAACGAAGATGCGAAGTCCTGGTGTGGTCAGGAAACAGAGTCGTGATAAGCTTGTGCCCTTCATGCGTGGTACAAATATCCGGAATAATAAAATCTCCAGCGAAACCCAAATCTAATTATGTACCGTACTTTGTTGTCCATTATTTTGCATTTTGTTTGTTTATATAAATCTTACATGTGGATGTTTGATGTGCCGATCGTATTAATAGCTATTTTATTTGCATTAATAAGATACATCTTTGTCTTTTAGTGAGAGCGAAAGCTGTATTTAGCAAGGCAAATGCCAACATGACCACAGCATGTTAATTGATAAAATCTATTTGTGTATATCAGCACTTTTTATCAAAATATGATGTCAGGTGAAAGGAATTGGCTTAAGTATTAATTTACCCGTGGACTTTAAACCCTAACGGTGATAAATCAATATAATGTATGGAGTGTTCCAAAGACAGAATAGGCATTGTAGATTTATCAACAGATGGACATTTAGTGCTAAAGGTAATTAATTAATATGAGTGTTCCAACGACAGAATTGTCAAGATAGATTACGTAACAGATAGAAACTTATTCCTAACGGTCATAAACCAATATGATATATGGAGTGTTCCAAAGAGAAAAAAGGAAAGATTTATTTACTGGTGGACATTTGGTCTTAAACTTAATAAATCAGTGTGATTTATGGAACGTTTCAAATAGAATCAAAGTACTGAAAGTACTGGTATGCTAAGACCATTAAAAAAACAAATTCTTTGTTATTAGCTTGCTATATACTGAAACCAACTATATGCAAGCAGTAAATCATTACAGCCCATAAAATGACCAGCAGATATCAGAAATAACAAGCATAGTAGTATTACTTATGTAATACATGTCCCAAGTAGGCTCCAAGATGCAATGATAGGGAAGTTGTCCATTTCTTTGGATACATTGTAGGAAATGTTGATCTTGGACACCATATTATCACTTTAAAGACTGCGTATCTTATTGGTTTAAGACCATTAGTTAGACCATCATGCAAATAACATGCTACATACAAATATTGGGCAGCTTCATTTTCCAGATTTTCTGTAAATGACTGCATAAGAGTGCCAATTTTCTAAAACAAACATGATATGTCACCATATCTTAAAATAAAAGATGCCTGTTCTTTCGGAACACCTGGTCTTATTCTCCTTGTACTTTTTCAGGGAATCTTCGAGTAGATATTGCCTTTGTTTCAATTTTACACTTGTTTTACTGGTTCTACAATTCTGTTGACATGTTTATATATTCTTTGTTCTCTAAAACTTGTCGCAAGATATTTTATTCCTCTTGTATTATAATTTTTACATACTAACAGTGACCTTGAACCTTGAAATTTGCAAGATGTGAATATCTTTTAGGTTGTGAAATTTGATAGAAAAATGAGGGTAATGCAAAGAACACCCCCATGCATCTATCCGTTTTTTGACTGTGACCTTGATCTTCGACATCTGACCCTGAAGTTCTAAAGAAACCGACTTCCCATAAGGGATACATGTTCCAAATTTGATTAAGGTATACTGTCTTAGTCTCAATGCGTTTACAAGGTAATCATATAGTACTTATGCAAGTACTGTGACCTCTACATTCAATCCTCAAAATCATTACTATATCCTCTGCACATTGCCCAGGGATAACTGAAACTGTAATCCAAATGATAACTAATACCCCCAACACCCACAGCCTTAGCTATCTCCCCATGGTGACCTTTTGCACAGAAACATCCTCTGAAACACAGCGGCATGTGCACGTTCCCCTACATTCCTGCAAAGTTTTGTTGAAATTGGTCCACAGGTTTAGAAGTTGACCGACGAGCAAAACCCGTCTATATTGACCAGTTGCCATGGCAATGAATATTTCGATGGGAAAATGGTGCATGTACATCTACACATTGTCCCGAATATTACTGAAAAGTTTCATTGGAGTTGTCCAGACAAGATGTGTCTACAGACAGACAAACAGATGGATGGACGGATAGACAACCTGATTCCAGTTTACTCACCCTTTTGGTGGTATAAGAACGCACAAGAGTGCTTACAAATTCCATGTGGACAGACATTATGGAAAAATAATAATAATAATAAAAAAACATGATACAGATGCTTATATCTTGTTTTATTAAGTTTTTAGATACAGTATTCTTTCCATGCTTTGATCAGCAATGTAATCTTGTCATGTCAATATCCTAGTACAAGATTGCATACACAAAATTGCTGTAGGTAGACTTTTAAGATACATAAAAAAATACATGCCTAAGTTTAAATGAAAGTTTTAAACAGAAGTCATATTATGTTCAGTATACAGTGATTTTTCTAGACAATTGTAAACTATAAACTCTGTATACAGCGATCTTTTCTACACATTTGTAAACAACAAACTCAGTATGCGGTGATCTTTTCTACAAAAAGTTTTTTTATATATCGTATACACTAAACTCAGAAAAAAAAAACAAATAAGTAAACCTTTCTATGTACACTACAAACTCAGTATACAGTGATCCTTTCTACACAAACTTGGTATAACTAGTGAATCTTTCAACTCAAGTAAATTGAAGATTGTATACAAATTTACTACAAATGCAGTATACAATGATCTTTTCCACATTTTTTTAGTTTCCGCCATTTGTTGATTCTTCTTTTGTGATGGTAAATATATTTCCGCCTTTAGAGAGTACTGTGACATTAAAAGGCAACATGGTTGTTAGCATCTCCTCAAGTGATTAATCATCTTCAACATCTAATTGGAGGCCGGAAAGAAGGACGTTTTTCTCCACCATAAGGTCCTCAAATCCATTGTTGGTCACCATGGCCAATTCCAACTTAGAAGAGTCAATAGAGATACCTTCTACCATTCCAGATTTCATTTCTTCAGGGACATTCACTTGCTGAAAGAGAGTAAGGGAAATAAATAACTATATTTCATTATTGCTATGATTATGTGCAAAAAATACACACTTCTGTATAAGCTTATAGTCTTCCCAATAGGAGTCTATATTAAATATACTGTAATTAATTACTTTGACGTTCAGGACTGTCAAATTATTAAGCGATGGACAGCTAGCAAAATGATAATATCTTGACCATGGTCATACAGAGATTGAATCATAAAATTAAATTTGTGTGATAAATCTGTGCAGTATGATAATTTATTTTGACATTTGTATTTCAAAAAAAATCATTTTGACTTGAAAAGTAATGTATAATTTAATTAATTACATTGGACCGTCATGTAATGGTTATTTAATTATTTTGAAAATACCTGTAGTGGCAATGCCATTTTCATAATGTAATTGTAATTTAATTAATTACATCATCATGTAATTGAACCCATGCCTGTTACAAACAGTAGCTGTCCTAACTGATCCTAAAATTAACTTTGGCTACATCTATCACAAAATTAACTTTGGCTATGTCTATTACAAATGCCACATTTAGCTACAGTAGAGGTATTTCAAAAATGTACGTCATTATAGCTGAAAGGACATAATTAATGGTTACTTAACCAGAACTACAGTTCTGAACAAACCACTACAAAGCCTGGTTATCTGTACAGACAATGTCCTCTCAATTAATCAATTTCATTGATTATCAACATCTTATTGTTGTACTTCCGGTCACTTGAGTTTCTTAAAGTTTCAATGTGATTTTTTCACATGCATCACTCTTCAACAGAATCAATGAGACATCATGTCAGAAAGACAAAAACTAAATTTAAGCTAAAACTATATATATAAACTTCAATTGGCATAGCTGTAGAGTTCCCGTACGATTTCATACCCTGGACTTGGGGTACTTATAAATTATCTCCGATCAGAAATTTGAAAGAGCTAGATCTACAATAGCACGGACAGTGACCGATATTTTAAAGTAAAATCGATATATTACACAGATAGATTCCTAGATTTATTCACGGTAGCGTAAGTAGTACAGTACAATATTACGGATAAGTTTTTTTCTGTTTAATTTCCGATCTGTTGGGCCACTCACGATCATTCAAAATTAAATTTATTTCAAAACACTGAAATACTTTACGGAAGCAACAAATGCTTACATAACATTTTTCAAATGCATACTGCTTCAAAGGAAAAGTCTTGAAAATATTTTGAAAAAAGTGCCATGGCGGCAGTGCCCAGCTTGCGCGTCGCCGTCGAGCATAAATTCAATACATGCGATAGCTCATTTCAAATGAGTATTTTGCAAAAAATGCAATTGCTAGTTCAGTTTAAGTATTGACTTTAAATTCAGCTTATATATATATAGTTATACTTACTTGCATCAAATACCTGCCATCTTCTTTCTGCCGCCGTCTTCTTTCAGGGTCCAGCAGCAATTCCGTCAAAATTTTATGCTACTCTAAATCACTCTTATTTTAGTTTCATTCTTATTTTCAACTACATATTTCAGTATTTTCAAAAGTTTTCAACAGTATTAAACGGGATGAAAATTTTCGAAAAAGAAAAAAAAAGAAAGATATATGACACCCACAATGCATCGCGCGGGAAAGAAAGTTAAGCCGCCATATTGGCATCGCCTCGCAAAATTTACCACCATAAAACGTGAGTCTTCATCACTGTATTTACAAATTTCGATGTCTGATTATCATTAATACACAACACAAAACGTTTTCTTGATGTACAAGTAATGAAGAAAATGTCGATAAGGTTGTTTCATTTAATGACTAGGATCAGCAACTTGTAGGGGCGATAATCCAATGATTACGGTAATGTCCGGCAGATGGAGTAGGAGTAAACTTTCGATTTATGAACCAATGAAAACGAAGTACTGATACTCAGGGCCAGGGGCGACAGCAACATGCTGAAGAGCATTGAAAATGCTCTTAGCATAAAAATGGACAAAGTACAATAATGCGTCATTGTGAACATATCTAGGAACAAGTTTAACGTGCACAATCAAAATTGATATTTCAATTAACTTTTATTTGCAATGATGTCATCGTATTTTTTCAAGCTACAGTCTACAATTATTGTTCAACCATTCATGTTCAATGTTCCTTCGATCAGAATATATATATATATATTTGCAATTTTTTTTATTTTTTCCAAATTTTTATACATATAGATAACAGAGAGAATGACATAACATAAACGTACAAAACTGAAAACTGTTTTATCATTAGAATACTAATATTGTCAGTGATACAGTAGACATTTCTATCGTTTATACGGCCAAATAAAAAGGATTGTTTATTGATTGCAAATGGTATGTATAGTGCATTTAGAAGTGTCTCAAAATTTTGTAAAAAGTGTTGTCCCTCATGGCATGCCCACATTAGAGGAACAATGGTTTCTCTATTTGAGTTACAAAAAGTAAAATTGTATTGATAACTAGACCTGATTTAAACAATTTTGAATTAGTGGTTAGAATGTGGTGTGATACACGATATTGGAGCCATTGAAGCTTTGTGTTTTTAGTTATATTAAATAGAATTTTATAGATATTACACCATCTTCAGTGAAGTTAAATTACTCATTCCATATGATCTTGCCAGTGGCTATGGTGTCTGTATGAATGAGTACGTTGTAGAATATTTAAGAGCCTCTATTATTTTGCAAAAAGAGATGTTTAATGACAGGTATGAAAGGACGATAAACAAGGACGATTTCAATGGGCAGAGGGACTGGCATTTACCTGCGAACTGCAGTAATTAATCCTTGTGCTTGAAGAAAATTTGTATTGATCTGATATTTTTCTGCAAGTTCTTCGAATGTGTAAAAACAAAAGTTATCAAAACTTTTAAGAAGATCTGCAATAATACGTATTCCTGATCTATACCAGGATTTATAGAAGATTGGCTTACCTCAACAGTAATATTCTTATTATGCCACAAGTTTGTTGTCAAAAATGTTTATCTTGTTCTTTTAATTCTTTGCAATAAAATAATTTGTACCAAATTTTAAAGACATCTTCCAAAAATTATTTGTATAAGTGTTATTACATTTCAAGATATATTCACCACCAATATTCATCAGAATATCAATATCAACATTCTATTTTAGAATAGACTTCCATTTCCTATCAGTATTGTATAATCTTTTAACCCAACTTAATTTTAGAGAGTTAATAAAACTATTCAAATTGAGAAATTTTAGGCCTCCATCAGTATAATCTTGAACCACAATATTTCTTTTACTTTTATCTGTTTTACTATCCCATAAAAATTCAAATAACAAACTATTGATTTCTTTTATTATCTTATCAGTTGGGTTCGGGAGTGAAATGAATAAATGGTTGAATTGGGATATCATAAGCGACTTGATAATGTGAACTTTACCGATAGGAGTTAGTTTTCGTTTTTTCCACATATTGATCAAACTTTGTAATTTTACAATTTTCTTATCAAAGTTATGCTTTGAAATTTTATCAAGGTTTACATCAAAATCAATACCTAATAATGTAAATTTAGTTTTTCCCCATTGAAGATGAAATTCTGGGAGCATGGTGTCTTCACTATATTTTTTACTTCCAATCCAAATTATATGAGTTTTGTCTTTGTTTTAAACCGAAATATCTGCAAAATTATTTAATTATTAATAGATTTGTGGAGTGACATTTCTGACCCATCAAGTGCAAGAAATGTGTCATCTGCATATTGAGAAGTAAGAATTTCAAAATTATTTGTCTTAATTCCCCTAATTTGCGTATTTTCTCTTATTTCATGATAGCCATAGGTTTTACATTTCACTCTATACAGGGAAATATTTTACACCCGTTTGTGGTGTGCATACATCATTCTGTACGATTAAGTGTCACACGAGAATATGAGGGTAAGAATATGAGAAGCAAAGAATCTGTTCCCTCACAATAAACTCTATAATGCATGTCCTACAAAGTTTGGCAGTTTGGGTATAGAATTTATGAAGGGATTTCGATCGAAATTGAATTTAAAATTTCTGTTTAAAATTCACCAGTGCCAAGATATATAATAGAATGAATTTTTGGAGCTTTTAATGAAGACAATTATATCTGTATAAGAAGCACCAAGAGGATAGTGACAAGTTAACAAAATAGTTACTCAAAGTGAATGACGGGAGGACACGCGTCTTCTTTTTCTAGGTCTAAGTAAGTAATGTCACTAAATCAGAACATCGGTCAACAATGATAAAACATTCAGGCATGTTATCGGACCTCGTAAACACCTAACTCTATATCACTGACAGAGTTGGAAATTTTCCCGTTTATGAAACATTAAGCGTTAATGTAAAATGCCTCACTGCCTTATCTGACATGCCAGTTTTCTGTCCTCGTAGAACGTTGGGAAACGCCATGATGACATTAACATGGATAAAACAACACCCTTTTTTCATTTTTTTAAACAAAATCTTTCAGTTCAATAACAAAGCAAACAACCCGATAACTTTCAAACGTTTTCTCGACTAGATTCTCTAAGAATTGAATGGAAAATATGTCCTTCGATAGAAGCGTTTGTGTCCCCAACTTACACTACTTATGGGCTAACATATCATTATCACTGAATTATGCATGCAAATTGATTTAAATGATATGCTGTATCTCCTCAGGTTCACAAATGGTAAAGTGTTCTGTATAAGTCTTTCCCTGTTTTTAAACTCATATCTAATATGTTCAACATTTTTAAATAGAATTCTCCAAAAAGACGGAACATAAAGTTAAAATTCAATATATATAAAAAAGATATTCGGTGTTGCATCCTTAACAATTCCTTTTAAAATAAATAAAGAAAAAGAGACGAAACATAAGGATTTGATATGTATTCCAAACTTGAAGAATGGTTGGAGATAACTACATTTGAGTAGTGTGTAACTGTGACTGTGTTACCTATTATGGGTCAGATCTCGTCAATAACATTAGTTAGGTGCATGTATCTGAATAAGGTCACGCACTTATCTCTGGAAAAGTCCAAACCCTTATTGACCGAGGACTGACAATGGTAAGTACTCTTTAAACCCTTTACTAGTTTAAAATCGAGAAATGTTTCTAATATTTCGGTTTTTTCGCCAAAAATATTACATAGACATTCACTGTAAAAAGTTACAATTTTACATTTAAAAGAAAGCATGTGAGATATCACATTTTTAACAGATTTTCATAAGCATATGTTTTTTCCCCAAAATACGCGTCAGTAAATTATTTACATTTTCAATCTCTTCTCAAAAACCACTGAAATAAATGTAATGAAATCTCGCAGAAATTTTTCATAGCAAAAGGAGATGAGGTACAGTTTACTATAGAATATAAAAGAAGTTGCATTTTTGAGCATGATTATTAAAATTTAATTTGTATAAGTATAAGATGACGGTGCACATATTGCCCATGACTGATCCTCAAGGACTGATGCTGGGGACCCAAATGAGGTATAATTAAACACTTATAATAGATGTAAGGACCTTAATATGCTTAACCAAAATTGGGAATTTCATGACCACAGTGTTTCATATTTACACATGGGGAGACGCAAAGTTCTTTTTCGCTATAAGGAAATAACATTTTTTTGGTATTCGTTGAATTCTCAATGGAAATACTTATTTAATATGGATTTGATGAAATAAATATTTTACATTACATCTGCGTTTTGTAGTTAAATTATATTTTCGTGCTCTGAAGATGATGTCTCTGACTTGACATAGCAAAAACAAATAGAAGTTTTTATCCAACCCAGTTGCGTGTAAAGCCTAGTTGACCCTTATTTGTCTTCTTGCAAAATATTCGAAAGTTTTTAAACAATAGGTGTCTTATCTGTAAAACAATAATTTCAAGTTTTAATGTATTTTTGTTGTGCATGTTTACATTCTAATGACAATTTATATGTTTGTTCTGCTTGTTGTAAGATTCGGTGGAGATAATTGAATTTTATTAGCATATCCTTACTTTTGGTTAACAATATTTAATCATGCTTTTCTTGTAAATTTCTATATTTTGAAATGCGATTATTTCGGGGTGGTACATATTCAATTTACATCTCTTCCAGAAAAAAGGGTAGAGTGCACAGAGTGGTTACGCATAGCTCATTACTCCTTGGTAACGAATATTTTAATAATATGTTCTGTCCGGTCATGAATGTCGTTAATACATGAACACCTTGATGTGACGGAGACGTTTATTTTGTTTTGAGATCGTGGTCTGCTGGCTTTTTCTCCTTCACATATGCACTGCTAGCCAGGACAGGTTAGCCTTTACACGTGAGAACCATGAACGATCAGGATCAGGAAGTCAGTGCCTCGCATGTCCGATACTCTACAATTCCCAGTCTACACATAACCATCATAACCACCACAATCATGCCAACAACGACTGGTATATGTGTATCCATATAGAATACTCTCCATATCACTGTGATTACCTGGAGCCTGAATGCGTTCCATTTTTAGGAGAAACATATATAATCTTCGGTCAAACTTATATGAGGGTGCGTTACAAACACACAAAGGTACGTGGCTACATTGGGCAGATTACTGTAAAATTATTTATTCAAATGTTGAAAAATTGCGCGGTTTAATCAAAATGACGTACAGACCAACCTCGTTTTCTAAAAGTCTTCTGGATCATGGGAGAACTGCGTAGTTGATGTAAGTGAGTTCGAATGTTAGATGTGGGGTTTTGCCGGGACTGACATAATACTTAATGTCTAATAGGGTTATCTGATTCGAGATAAAAAGGTTCTACTGAATATTTAAGTCCTAAATAGACACAACTCTTCATTTTTTATTTCTATATTTGCTATTTTATTCGTACCAAAAAATAGAAGGAAACAACATTTACAAATTGTATCTTATTAAAAAATTTATATGAAGGCTAGTGAGTTTATGCAGTGGCATGGCGTTTGTCTGTCCGTCGTCCGTCCGGCATCAACTTTCTTATAACGGCTTCTCAATAATAAACAGACCTAGAGTTGTGTGCAGGTTCCTGTTGTGAAGCCAAACAAAGATGCGAAAAGAAATGACTTTGACCAATATTCAAGGTCACAAGGGTCAAATTTGTTAAGTATCTTAACGGCCTCTTCTAACCAATGAAAGAACTTAAAGCATGTTATTTCACTGGTAGATGCCTGGATTAAAGCCCAATAAAGCTTGCGGAAAGAAATCATATGATGTACTTTGACTTATATTCAAGGTTGCAGTCGTCCAATGTGTCGAAAAAAGACTTATTCTGACTAGCAGAAAGGCCTGAAGGTATGATATTTGGCTGGTAGGTTCATGGGATGATTAAGCATCCATGACCTATATTAATAGTCACATGGATCAAATTTGTCAGAAACTTTAAACGACTTCATCTGATAAAGCTTTGTCATAGACCCATAACATTTGGCTGGTAGGTCACTCGGATGATTCAAACTCAAATTCAAAATCGGATTAGCCAATTACAGTTGGCAAAAACAAACAGCCCTAAACCATATTCCGGGTCATAGGGGTCTAATTTGTCAAAAACGTCTGGTTAACCAAAAGTCCGAAAAGCAGGATGTTTGACAGTAGGCTGTTCATAGAACAAAGCTAACAAATTTCGAAAAAAATACATGTTATCCAGTATATAGCTGTTATTGTTATGAGTTGAGTGTAAAAAGCTTAAGTTTGTTCCGGCTATTGATTGAAATAGATTGGATGTGCCAACATTGAAGATAAATGTTGTACATGTATACTGAGAGGAAAAAAGAAGCGCAATTAGCAGAATATTGTAAATTAAATCTTTGACGCACACCCTTGAAACTTGACAGATGTGTGCATTTGAGTTAGGTCCCTATGGTACCGTGTTAAAATCACTAATGAATAACTAAACTGCGCACTGGTTTAAAATCTGTGTGTGCGAATCTTCAGATATATCCGTCTTGATTTCCCACATTTCAAGCAGTTCACCATAAAAAATGCGACGACAGTCCGAAGTTGACAGGGGTCGTGCCATTGCAGTTCTTATGCAAGGTACCCCGCAAAATCAGGTCGCTAATCAATTTGGAGTCCATCCATCGAACATTTGCCGTCTCATCCGAAGACTGCATGCCACTGGAAGGGTTGCAGACCGTCTCCGAAGCAATCGAACTCGTGTGACGACGCGTCGGCCGGATAGGGCAATGCGACTTTAGCACATACGCGATCGCTTTCTGACGGCCACGGAAACAGCAAGGAACACAATTGGGCGTCATCATGTTCCAATTGATCCAAAGACTGTGCGTACTCGACTGCGTGCCTTCGGTCTAAGATCACGGTGGCCATATGTTGGACCACAGCTTAATGCGCGGCAACGTGCCAGACGAATGCAATGGCTGAACGCACATTCCGTATGCAACGTTGGAGAAGGGTCCTGTTCTCAGATGAGTCCAGGTTTTCGCTTTACCGGGCAGACGGCCGACGTCGTGTCTATAGACGTACCAACGAGCGCTATGCAGATTCTTGCGTGATAGAGAATGGCCGCTTTGGAGGAGGATCGGTCATGGTATGTTGAGGGATTGCGCATGGTATCAAGACTCCTCTGGTCGTTATTCAGGGAAATCTCATGGCCGTCCGCTATAGAGATCAAGTCCTAGCGCCGCATGTTGTTCCTCTAGTACAGCAGCGTCAACTGACGTTTCAGCAGGACAACGCCCGGCCGCATAAAGCGAGGGTTTACCGTGGTTATATCGCAGCAAACAATGTCCCCACCCTAGACTGGCCCCCATACAGCCTTGACCGCTCCCCAATAGAACATTTATGGGACGAGTTGGACAAAAGGATAAGACGTAGGCCGAATCCTCCAATCAACGAAGCTCAGTTGGCGTTGGCGCTGGATGAGGAATGGAATTGTATACCAATGTGGAGGGTTAATACCCCGATCAATTCAATGCTCAAAAGAGTTTTTGCAGTTACTGCAGCTCGCGGGGGGCACACACGATATTGATGAGTTCAGAACGCACTTCATTTTGAGTGGGGTACTCTTGAATCAACGTCAAAGTTGAAAGGTTTACTTAACGTACGCGAATGAAATTCTCGTAGATGACAGAGTGGTCAACTATCTTCTAGTTACACCATAATTACATTCTAAAACCCTTTTCTATTTCCCGTAGTTGACCTGGAAATTCCTAATTGCGTTTCTGTTTCCTCGCAGTATATTTGTGATGAACATTGATTAGCAGGTGAGCGATGCATGCCCATTGAGCCTCATCTTCACGTTCCTTTGTTTTATGGGGACATCAAGATAAAATGTTGAATAGACCTGCTGTATACACAGACATTTAGATGTTATCTCAATAGTTTTTTTCCTTTCTAAATATCGAGGAGGAGAATCAAATAGTGCCCAATATCCATTAACAGGGAACATTCCGAAACAAGGCAGTAACATGTTTTCTAACGATAAAAGCAGTTTGTGTGAACAGCCGTATTAGTAACTCAACACTTTGTTGCTGTCAAATGTAATTGTTCTGACAACCATAACTTTATTCATGATGCTGTATTTAAAACATTTGTAATTTCACAATCATTCCTATGACAATTGTTTCGCTACTCCATACACTTTACTATGTTGTCCTTCCTTCTCAAGTCGTCTGATTGTCCCAATACAATTTGACAACTCCTTATTTGTAGCTAATGCTCTAGTTTTGGTCGCCACCAATTCACTTGAGTCACCATTTTATTTATAAGAACAAGTTCTTCAATGCATGCACAGTCGCAGTCCGTAATTTCTCAGCTCTTTGGTGTTTTCTATATTGTTAACGAATCTGGATTCTCATGTTATTTAATTACTTCTTTGGGAAATTCCTACTGCATTTTCCCATATAGATCTGTACCACATCTGTACCACATAAGGCAGAAAAATGGTTCACCGCTATGTCGTTCTGATAATAATATCTGTTTTCCTTCCTTTGATATCAGCCTTTTTCACATGGACTTGGCACGAATTCCCGCCCCTGTGGCCTTTTTCATTTCTGTTCCATAGATTGTTTTTGTGTTGATGAATCTATTGTTATGACTTATAAAACTATATTATTTCATATCAACAAAACATTCATTTAGTTCCTAGAATAAGTGTTTGAATATGGATTGTTTGCAGAAAATGTGGGTTTTGGCGGATAGTGTACGATGCGAAAATAATTGTTGTAACGGTGAGTGCCGTATTTTAGGTTTTATACTAAGCTGTTTTGGTATCCAAGTCTTTTCATTTAATTCGATTTTCGTCGCAGGAGTTAATGTTAATGTGTAATGTTTCCAATATTGTGATGTCATAGATAACCAAAACCTCGTGAATACTTGGTCATTAATCTGTTATATCGACACGCGTAAATTTAATGTAATTCATAACAATTGCGAAACAAGTCGTCAGTTTATATCAATGATTCTTGGTTGAATGTCTGTAAAAGACGGGAAAACCCATATAGTCGGAATGGTGACTCGATATCGTGTGTGGTTACAAGGATGCATATTAGAATTGTGTTTTATGTGTTAAAAAAATATTTTGAATTGTGTCATATTTTCTTGCAGGCATAAATTCTTTCTCTTCACCGACTGTGCAGTTACCAACAACAACGCCCGTGGTAACCACCACACCACCAGGTCAGTCAAATCAAACTTCGGTTAATATCACAGCACGCTAAACAGGACTTTATAACACTAGTACAACCTTTTACATCCATTTACATCCTTTATCAAACTTATGTTATACCTTAAAACTCAAACAAACTTGTTTGAACAGAAAAACTACAGGTGCGTCTCGTCAACGGTCCAAGTGCCTTAGAAGGTCGCCTGGAAGTTTACCATGACGGTAGATGGGGAACTGTGTGTGACGATAATTGGGATGATGATGACGCTAGAGTGGTCTGTGGTATGCTAGGATACTCCAGGTGAACGCCTTTTCAATATTTCAAATTTTCTTAATAAGTATGTCGTGAATGAAACTGTGCCAGCTTCAATATTTAAATATATAACAATGCGCTGCCTACAACGTTTGTCGTTTAGTTTGCATGCAACCCACACGTCCAAGGCTAGGTATGGTAGTGGTCAGGGACCTATCTGGCTGGACGAGACCCAGTGTAGTGGACAGGAGACTAACCTCGGTCAGTGTACCTCTGAGCCTTATGGCCACGGTGACTGTGACCACACGGAGGACGCTGGAGTTATATGTCAAGGTATTTGCCATCTTGTATATGTTGTTCAAATATGACCGACGGTGTGTTGAACAAAACCATTACAAAATTTTATAATTCATTCCTCTATTAAACAATCATTTTGACTGGCTAATTTTTTTATGTTATCGTGTCATAAAATGAAAAATCGACGTCATATTGTAATATCACATCTGATTTACCTATCTAGCGGTGTAAGAAAAGACTGTTTTATAAATGTAAAAAAAAAATACTGATAAAATTAGAAGAATTACATTCGCGGTTCATTTAGACTTTTTGATGTTTTTTTTATGTAATGACGCAACAAATTACAAATGAGTAAAGTTTAGGTTTTTTTTTATAAACATTTGTTATATAAACTGTAATGGTCAATTTTCTATCGGAAATGAAAAGATATGATCGGTATTTAATCATAGCTATATTTAACTATTAAACAGCTTTGCCCACGACAACCTCAACGACAACAGCAGCATCTACAGTAGTTCCTCGAGGTATTTCCATTCTTATTCGTGTTATATATTACGTTAACTAAGCGTGTCCATGAATGGTCGCATTTCCTTACCTCCTTAAATGTCATTTGATGATATATTTCAAAACCTTCATTAGAAAAAATGACTGTAGTTGAAAAGTAGGACACTGTTATTAAGTGCCCTAATTACTGATTAAGTCACACTTGAGCACCGTTTTTTGTCTTAATGTATATATAAACAATACGTTTATCACGTGCAGTGTATTTATTTGAAATATTTTTGCATGAATTAGAGCAATGAAGAAGTTACAGTCAGGGTAAGAGAGGCATGCCATTTAAATAGACTAGGTACAATTTCAAGTGCAAGAGCACCAGTCACTATCTTATTCCGGTTAATGAAAATGAATATTGAATTATACTGTATGAAAAATTATTTCAAATAAATTTCACAGCATAATAATTCTTCCGTGCATTAGTTGTATTCTTGAGCTTTATCATAAGATGGTTTGACACTACACAAAATAGTATGACATCATGACATCTCCCTGATGTGTACCTTGTTAATGGTCTTGTTTCAAACACTAGCAAACTTCAGTAATCTACAATGCAGTGTATGTAACACATGGTATATCCAGATATATAAGTATACTTTGTTCTGTGCAGGTCATACATACATTGACTTATGCACATATCTTGTGTATCACTAAACCGTTAAGTATAATTTCATTCATAGAAGTGTGACATATATTTGATAGTATTATAGTATTTTGTTTAGTTTTTATTAATTTTCTGTTATTTTTGTCAAATGCCAGTACAAAAAGCAGTGTGCTTGCTGCAAAGCAGATTATAAAGTCAGAATATATTGTCTGAATCAGGCAGCTGTTCTGTCTTTCTTGAAAGATAACATCAATAAAGATTTATGTTTAGGTGACCCTATATGTGCGAAATGCAGAGGGAGATTCTACAAACAATATGAACCAGTAGAGCATTCTAACAGTGGTTTAGACCATCAGAATGAGACACCTGACTCTAATAAAAAAACAAACTTGATATTCCACGAGCTACGCTTACTGAATCGCGATGTTTTGTTTGTGGAAAGTCCAGAGATGAAAAAGTAAAATGGTGAAACCATGCACGGAAATAAGTTTCCTTAGATGTGTTGATAACGCAATGACGGTAGAGAACTGGTCAGATTGTGACAGCAACAGTGACTCCTAAATGAATATCACAACACCACCATTCCCCTTACTAAAGCAGTAAACAAAAATACAATCCCCTAAGTCATAGACAAAGGTCATTTATGATCCTGTGAAACCCAGTGCTAAATTGATTTTTTTTCTATTTTAATATCATCCATTTTGCAAAAATATTTCAAATAAATACACTGCACATGATGAACGTATTGTTTATTGATGCATTAAGACAAAAAACGGTGCTCAAGTGTGACTTAATTAGTAATTAGGGCACTTAATTACCGTGTACTACTTTTCAACAATGGCGTATTTTTGGTCATTTTTTTCTAATGAAGGTTTTGAAATATATCATCAAATGACATTTAAGATAAAAAAAACTAAAAATAAATATCTTAATTTGATAATTATTGCAATAATGATGAATTTGATCCCCCACTTGTCCCTCCTATAACAACTGAACAGCTTTGAGTTGACCTTAGATTAATGTCATGTCATTACCGCCTGACCTCAAGTTTTTAATAGACAAAAAATAAAAAGTATTCGTCATGGCCACCAGAAGGCCCAAACTGGCACTCCCCCTTTATCATCTTATTCCATTTGAATGCAAAATGTACTTTCTGTGGTGTTACTCCTTCGGATAAGACATTACTACTCACAAACCTAGACTTACGCTTTCATTTTATATCATATTGTAAATGATGTAATGACCTTATATGGAATTCAGAAGATTAACTGTACAACAAACTATGCTTGGCGGGATATGTTATTAGGACATAATGTGAAATTGGTCTGCACGATAATGTTTGAACTATTGCGCTTTCGTGTTAAAACTAAAGGCAAGAAAAAAGTGAATCAAATGTTGTCAAAAAAAACCCATTATTTTGTTATTGTCTTGTATTCCGTCATTTCAGTACTATTTCAGAGGATTACGTTCGGTATTACTCTATAACGCCTTTCGAAATGGATGATCAAAGTTATTAACAATAGTGGAAACCGACTGTCCACATGATCTGTCAGAAATCAAAAGTACGATTCCAAATTAAAAAACACGAATCCGCACATTCGACCGGAACGGAATGCTGACTACAGATGTGTATCACTCGACGTTTTCTGGCCATAACCGATTTTCTGGTTCAATAAGGACCCTCAGATACACTAAGAATTCGAAATACCATCATTCTTCCGGACACTCGATACGTGGCCATGCGTTTTTAGCATACAATGGAGTTGTATACAATTCAAATATTCCCAGTGAAACAAACAGGAATGATGGGTCCGAACACAATTGTTTCGTTAAATCTGAGCAATGTAATATTATAGAACAAAAACGTTATCGACTTATAAGCGGCATGGCGCTCACATTTCATGTTTGATATTGAATTGTATTAATGATGTCATTTGATCTTGAAGCATCTTTGAAGGTCCGCCTGGTAAACGGGCCGAATGCCCGTGAAGGACGGGTGGAGGTCAAATACAATGGCGTTTGGGGGACTGTGTGCGACGATAATTGGGACGATGATGATGCGAAAGTTGTCTGTGGCATGCTTGGTTACAGTTCGTAAGTTTGTTTCATATTGTATTGTTTGTTTCATTTTCAATAAGGGTTTGTCGCATGAAAAGTCATGTTTTTCTTTAATGATGTTAAATGAACGAAACGAAATGGATATAGACTTTGTCGGATTTTCGTGCAAGAAATAGTCAGCTGACTGACAAACTCGTAACACGAGGGTTCAAAAGATGCTGGTTGATGAAAATTATGGGGAAAATGTCCCCACAGTGATCTGATTGAGAAATATTCTATTTCTTTGTTTGATATGAAACGTGATGCTTGATGCTCGTTAGTTAACCTGTTGATTCCGTCGTTTTATAATTAGTCATTTGTGAACGTGACATTACTTACTTACATTGACTAAGTTTAACATTGCGGTTGCCGTCGATGAATGAGAAGACGCCTGCTATTCCGGAACATCTGGTGTTATTCTCCTTGTACTTTTTTCAGGAATCTCTGTGTAAATCTTACTTTTGTTCATTATTTGCCTTAGTTTTATGGAATTTGAGTTTAAATTATGATTATGTTGCCATGTTGGTATTTTCTCCCGATTTTTTTCGGACGTATCGGATTATGTAGCGCCATAATGTTGTTTAAAGTATGATGGTTATTACTTTGTATATGCGTCCGTGGAATGAAGCCAGTGTACAAAGTATATCTCGAACCACAAAACAGATTTTGTTCATGTTCACAACGTAGTATCGCATCGTCGAGTTCCTTACCAGATTAGCTTCTTGGGGTCATTGTCGAGGTTGAAAAGTCAAAGTTCATACGAAACCACTGTTGAAATGCAAAGATTGTGACAACGATATTTCATTAAAATATTCGAAAGAGTTACATGTTATTTTTGCATCACGTTTACACATGGTGGTCATCGGTCAAGATTACTATATAATAACTAAGTTACCATACTTTAAAGGATAGGTTCAGTATCAACTAACATCCCGATTACTATATAACTACTTAGTTGCCCATACGTTGAAGGATAGGCTCGGTACCAACTAGCATCCCAATTACTAGTTACTTTCTCATACTTTGAAAGATAAAAAAATCTTATGTCCAATGGAAACAAATTGATGAGTTTGTTTATCACGTGTCTTAAATACTTAGTCAAACATTCTCGACAACATTTATTATTAGAACATTTTAATTGGCAATATTCTTTTACTTTCACTTTCTTTAATTGCTGACGTGGCATGGTATATAACACGTTCTGACGTCACAATAAAAGTGAACCATCAGTCAACCACTTCTCCGCTAGGTCAGATAAACTAAAGTTTGGTATAAAACTGTGTAATGGATGTCACGTCGAGGACAGAATAGTAATATAATGAGCAGTGTATTGATTATTATATACAAATCAGCGATTGCGACGAAGTGTTAATGTAATCATCGCCAAAATACACGTCGAAGGATATACAATAGTGACAATTGTTTACTCATATATGACTTCAATTCACCCACGATCTGTCCATGTATATGTCTTGTATTGGTAATTTTCTGATTATTTGCTACTTTAGTCACTACGCAACCCACACGTCCAAGGCTAGGTATGGTAGTGGTCAGGGACCTATCTGGCTGGACGAGACCCAGTGTAGTGGACAAGAGACTAATCTCGGTCAGTGTAACTCTGTGCCTTATGGTCATGGTGACTGTGACCATACAGAGGACGCTGGAGTTATTTGTCAAGGTGAGAACGTATGTTCATATCTACATGTAATGTTAATTCATCATGTGGATATATGTATTAAATTGTTGACGATTTTGGTGGTAGTTCTACTCTTGTACTAGATTTGTACGAAAAGCTGCTATTCATTTTGGTGCAATATTTGAAACTAGCAAAACTATAGAAAAGTTTGTAAGGCGGTATCATTTCAAATTTTCAAATTAATCATTGTTTTAGATATAACGTCATCGACATCAGTAGCAGCAACAACCACATTAACATCAACACCATCAACCACCAAAACGTCGACAACATCGTCGACGACGATGACTTCTACAATGAAGTCAACGACAAAAAGTAAGAACTTCCATTATCCATATCCCGAAAAGCTGGCATCAGATTTAGACATAAGAATACCATATGTCATCTATACTATGAAATTGTTTATACATTGTTTAACGTCCTATCAACATCTGAGGTCATTTACACCATCAATCGACTGTTTAACTCGTGTACTAGTTGTTAGTGTTCGACGTGATGTGCTGGACGACAGGTTACATAAAAAGGTTCCTTAGGGTTTAAATGTATTTACATATGAAATAACAATATGACCTATTCGCCAAATCTCGTATAATGAAATGGGTCAAAGAGTGTCCTAGATTCTGACCAGACCTCTAAGATAAGTTATAAGTTTGAATCATTGTTCTGTATCTCAATCAATATGTCTCAATTAAAAAAGATGCTTGGTCGTATTTTCTTCAGCAATCTCCGTGGTTTTTTCGCGCTAGTTGTATTGAATGCTACATAATATAGTTAGGATTATGATTCTGTCGACATGTTTGTATTTTCTTTGTTGTTTCTGTTGAACATGCATTTCATAACCATTTTGTGATATTTGCAAAACAGGTGGACACCACTGGTTGGCTTTAGGTAGTGGTACAGGTAAGTCATAGTGTTCTTTACCGTATGCAAAGATCAGGTATGTATTCAAATCAAATGAACATTTAAGTATTATTTGTTAATACAATGAACATGTACGTATTAAGATAAATTAGAACACTTATATATCGTAATTAACACAAGGAATTCGTTAATAGCAGTATAACGATAGCTCCGGTTTATTCGACAGAAAAATATCTTGACGGTACAACTCTATAGGACTTTGGATAACTTTATCTGGAAATTCATCCGACATTTTTTCTTTCGAAGCACGAATTTCATTCGAAACAACTATGAAAATATCGAAATTTCAACAGAATTTTACAGCAAACTCAACATCGACGAAAGAGTTAGAAATAAAGGAACAATTTCCTAGAAAGGTGACCTTCCCCTTCCTCAATTCCACGCACCATGTATGTGAAGTTTGGTCAATCCAATTAAGTAATGCCATGTTCTCAAATGAAAAAAAAACAACAAAATACCAATATATCAACATAATCATTACCCAAATTCTTATTCAATAAAACTAGGTCAAAATATGAACAAATAATTATTTACACGGAAACTCCTGAAATAGTACAAGGAGTAATGATCGTCTACTTCAACAACGACACCTGCCATAAGTTCTGTCAATCCAAGAAAGTTAATGTCAACATGTTTATCTGCAGGACATCAAGGCTAGCTAACAAGCATGTAAAACACAAACAACGTCACTTTAATCATTGAGAGGACCTAAAACCACAGTCTTTATTAACCTGTGCCAGTTTCCCATTGACATACCTGTGCTGACTATAGGAATATTAATTTTCCTAAATTGAAATAATTATATCATATAACACAATATGGTTATAATGAATGTTTTCTAAAATGTCTGAAGTGATGTAAATCTGATATATGCTACCGGCTTATTTGGCGAAAATTATTTCATCGTGGATTTAAAAGTCCTTGATACCTGTTTAACTGTCACTAAGGTCATATCCTTAAAGTGTTTGCCCAGCTGACCGATTATGCCATTAGTCTTCGATTAAGCCTTGATCTGGTCAGTATACAGAATTTCATCTTTATTTTTCTAAATTTTGTTTAGGGACGATTCGAAATGAGTTTTTGTAATAATGGATTCATTCCGATTTTCTCAAGATGTTTAGGTTAACGAAAATACCAGTTTCCTTGCATTTAATCTACAGCGGCTTTGGGCATGACCTATTTCCTATCAACACAATTCAACAGAAATGCAGCTACTTTCATGAGAATCACGCACACATCGATCGTGTCCAAAATTCAATCAAAAGCTCTTGGGCTCATTTCATAAATCACACCTCAAACCGAAATAAATAAAGACCCTTCATGTACTTTTATATTTTAACCTGTGAAATAGCATTCATTGCATGGGATTTTGGCAGGGTAGATGAGATGGTATAACTAAAACATTCGTATTTCCCATGGCCTAGCCCTTTCAGTTTTCGATAACGTATTGAAATTGAAAGGGAGTACCGAAATCTACATTCTCAACAGCAATATTAGATACTAAACATTTTATCTTGTCGCGGATATCATGAATAGCGTAAGTCATACAGGACAAGTACGACTATTTGCTTTGCCCAAGAACACAACCACGTTAGCACAGGCCGTTCCGTTTCTCAGCTTCCTTAGCAACACGAACTGCAACGGGTAGAGGGCGTCGTACCACGCACCTCGGCTGAGCTATCGTATAGGTGAAAGTAATGATAACTTGTTTAACACTTCATCTTGAAACTTTTTTCTTTGTCTATTCTTTCAAGCGATAGAAAATGTACGGAATGTGTCAATAGTCCTTGGAGTCAAATATTACTTCTGCAAAATGATAGCATCACTTCTGCAAAAATTCCTCGCCTTTTTAACATAAAGCTTTTTTAATATTATATATTCAAATTTCTTCTTATAGTACATGGAAACAATGATCTAACGTTAAAAAGAAAAACCGTTTCTCCAAGTATGGAAGAATTTACAATATTTTTTTCACTCGTTTAGACACTAGTACTCGCTTTGCTGGTAAATCATTTGTAATTCATCGTAACTACCTTGTGAATATCCTATGTGCATATATTCATAGAATTATTATTATTATTACATATGTATCGTGGTGACGATATGGTTCATCGGTGTTCTGTTACCTCGGTATGTTTTATATTAGTCCTTTATCGTTTTATCTGATAAGGCTTACTGACCACGGAAGAAAAACTTCAATGCGATGGCAGCAAGATGACAGAGGATATATTTTATTTTACAGTAATTGGTTGACTGCAATACCGGAGGTGACGTCATAACGTGTTGATCATTAAATCTGGACCGGTTGTTTAACTAAACAAAATGTTACATCATGATATCATTGATAACTATAATGATAAATGAAAACATGACAAATCATTTGCTACAAAGGCGAAATCTGCTTTTAAAATTGTACATACGATCTTGATATGATTCGATAACAAAATCAGACTCACAACAATGCCATCTAATATAGAAGAGAACAAAATAATTGATATTTGTCCATGTTGTACTCATGTTCATACCAAAATTTCAATAAAGCATTCCTCGTTCAAACAGTTCCGTCGGAATATTGTTTAGCGTTGTCTTTTGTTCATATACTTTACGTCTACAAATATTTGCACTTGTTGTCAAAGAGGTGAAAACGTCACAAAGAAAAATACATAATGCTGAAGTGTACAATTTGGTCCCTTCGTCGCATTAATCGCCGACAGGAAATAAAGCTCGTGTCAGCTGAACCACATGTTTATCGTGACAGGTATAGATAAGACAAATGACATAAACTTTTGATATGAATATGTTAAAGGGAACGTGACAATGTTGGTTGTTTTAGAATGCAGGAACAGCTGTATGATTTAGGTTAGATATTTGACAATACTATATTAAATTTCAAAATAGTATTGCAATGTGCTACCCTCGTAGGTATCTTTCGTACAATCCTTCGAGATTGGAACTGGTAGACAATGCTCGTGGACAGGCCCCGAGATCAGGTCATTATACACAAACACTTAACAAATACACGCCCTCGCCGCAAAGTTGGAAATTTTGCAAGAGCATAATTTACTGTCAGAAACATATATCAATGCACTTTCCTAAGATCAAAGAAACTTTGGTCTGCTTAAGACAAAAGCAAATTAAATAGGAAGGGTCAAAAGGTCATTGTTGCTGAAGTGTCTGTAAATCAGGTTTATATAGGTTGTGTGGATACTTGGTATTATCGAATGGTAAGAAATTTTTGATTCATAGAAACTAAAAGTCGGTTAATGACGCGTATATTTTGAAAATGCTTTGATTTTCAAAAAACTTAATAATAGGAATATAAAGAACCCAATGATATACAACAAATTCCTGCTCATATCAGTTCACATACTTAAAACGATGAAGTAAATACACGCTAATTAGCTACATTAATTTGCATCTTTTCGGCAAGAAAAGACAAAAATTAACAAAGCTTAAATCACGTCCTTTCGACATTTCATCCCGAAAAGACAATAAAGATCGCTTAAATGTTATAGAGAAAGCGATAAAACATGCAGTTGAACCTCCAACAAAAGTAGGATTAGGTCTTTGAGGCCATCATGAAAATAGACAGTATTCGAAAATAACAACATCCAATAGGGGACAAGAAACGGCTCTTGTAGCAAAATTCATGCACCGGTAGAAATGAATTCATTTTCATCAGTAAGAATTATTTTGTCAAGGGAATCGAATCCGGGCACTTTCCATACGGTAGCTACTGACACTTAATTGTAAAATAACGCCTTGCTAGACAGGGGCAATACCACTGAAAGTACACAAAACGTTAAGAGCGAGTATGTCATTCATTTGCTGTAAGTTCAGCTGTACAGCGTCATCTCGTGCTGCTGACCTGATATCTGATGTCGGTTATGGAAATCCTTTTCCATTCTTGGTGAAGGGCACACTAGAGTTCCGTAATATCATGACGTTGTCAAACACGTCTTCCAAGAACATCCCACATGTGTCCGATTTGAGATAAATCCGGTGATCTTGCAGGTCAGACATGTGTATGAACATTATTCTGCCGTTAAACAGTTTGTGTGAGGCGTGCACTAGCGGACAAGCAGGTTCCTGCTGGAATTATGCCGTCGTACGTTGACACATAAGTACACAATTAGTGTACAATTAGTCATAATTAGTTATGTTCCTTGGACAGTCGTTAAATTAGTCTTTCCTCTCTGATTCCTTCCCATATCATCACACTTCCGCCGTTGTACAGATCGCGTTGGATAATGCAGCGTCATCTCGCTTGTGACGTCATATCCTTTCAAGCCATCTTCCGTCAGCATGCTGGACGTTGAAGCGCGACTCGTCTGTAAAACTGCTTAATTCCATTGTCTTTGGTTCCACCGACGTAGTGTTACAGCAGAAATGAGACAATTAAACCGATGGTAACGGAACAGGGGCTGTTGGGCGTCTACCGTTTAAACTCGCTGCGTGGAGACGATTAAGCAGTTTGACGCGAAGCCTAGTAGCTCTATAAAGTTCATAAGCAGTTTTAAATGCAGAAAGAAAACATTGATGTGTTGAATTTGTTATAATATAATGGTCCTGTCGTATCGTCGTTTTACTAGGTCGGCCAGGTCGAGGATGGTCCGAAACAGATCTAGTCATCTGTTAAGTGTTTAAAGTCGTGATATTGTCTATTATGCAACTACCAACATCCGACATACCTATCGCCATATGAAGTTGGTTTTCTGACGTTCAATTGAACCTTCAATGGTTATGATTGTGCAAACTTTGTCGGCTACAATGTGAAATCATGCGTAAACTACGACAGATCAAAAATATCTGATATTAACGCAACGAGACTGCTGTTGATGGAAGCTGACGCAAGGGCCAAGACCTCCGATTTAAGAGAGCAGCTGAAGGCACTCGCCAAACTCTCCATTACCTTCAAGAAAATGCAACTACACTAATAAACTGGGAATGTAACTCATGAAGCCATTACGGTTAAATGAGTGTGCTAAGGAGGAATATTGAGGCTGAGATGCAATGCGTCCGGGTTTCGATTCTCGGAACGGACGTGGAAAGGTATGGGGTCACCTGCCCGACCACGTGGGTTTTCCCCGCGTTTCCTCCCCACTTTAAGAACTCTAGCACGCTTCCATCCGGGCCAACAAGAGTGATGGCTACAAGCCCAGAGCGTGTTTCGCGATGGTTGTAAAATAAATAAAGTCTACATACATGTATGGTAATGGTACAAACGGTTTCAATCATCGAACCAATATGCGTCTACATCATGCAGATCCTTGTGTACGGATTTGAAATCTTGCATCCCTCAAATTAATTGATAAAGCCACAGTAGTCTATCATTAGAAACATCACAAAGTATTCTCTCTACTCAAACGTTTAGCTATGGCTGCAGGATTCCTGGGTACCTAATCCTTCAGTGTTCATTTAGAGCATTTTGTTATCATGTAATTGTCACTATTATCGAGGAATTCATGAAATGGTTTATAATATTCATAAGAACCATTCGCCTGACATAACAATCACTTTTCAAGGCATCAGCACGGATTTCCTCCCCGTAGCGCGTGATTGCGGGACTCTAAGACATTTTTTTTGCTATCTGTTGACGTCTGCTTCAGTAGTCAACATTTCCGATTTCCGGTTTGAATTTTGTGAGACACCAGGAATAGAAACTGAGTGGAAGTGAATATAAAAAGTTCAGCTTCTAGCTTCCAAATAAAACGAAAATCATTAAGAATTGTAAGAGTGCGATAAGAAGGCGTTAAAGATCTAAAACTACATGATTGGACTAACGGGCTGATACTTGGGTCTAGGTTAACTGAAATAATAAAAGAAAATCCAGCACCGGGACAGATACTCTAAAATACCAGTTATAATTGTTCCAACACCGTATAATGAAGCACCAGTTCATAAACTGCTTTTAAGTGCCACCATAAATGCAGGCAAAACGGTTCAAGTTCGATCAACAGTCCATTCCGTGACTTGCTCTTCTTCAACATGTCAAAGCCTGCGCAGGTACTCGTCGGACGCTTAAAACATTGTGGTGTCAATGTATATTGTCAACAATACGTGAAGAATGAGGCGCAACATTAATATACCCTTTCTTTGATCTATTTCACTACATCAGGAATCCCTATCACCAGCACAACACCCTCTTCCTGTAACTAGGGGTCGGTGGTAACAGAGATCATTATTGATTCGATTTGGGTTAAGAAGAGGATGTCTTGTACATAAGACCGATTTCGGAAAAGCAACTACAGCAAAGGTGGGGTTTCCAAAACCACGCATCCTTTTTTTGAAACTTTGGAGTATTTTAGAGTACGTTTAAACATACCTGAATATGTCTTTCTTTTTCCAGTTGTGATATGCAAAAGGCCCACAGGGCCTGAGATTCACTTTTTCACACTACATATCATTAAGTGCCTTAAAGGTAAATCTTTCCTACATTTTGGAAAGTATTTTACTCTTAGATGTGTTAAAGATAATTGTTTCTCTACGTCAACATCAATAATTTTCCGTTTGGAGTGATAACTTTACTCACATGTCAACTTCAGGGTGAAAAAGTAGCTAATTTTGAATTCCACAAATCTCAATTTTGAAGTTTAAGATATCAAGTCAATATGGAATTACCTTTGTTCACCAATTGAAACCATTTTAAAAATAGGTTATAATATCCTCTGTACACATACTTAATATTGAAAAAAATAAAATCCGGAAAAATGGTTTTATAGCATTATGAACATCCCCGTCCCCTCTCAATCAGCAGGTACTGCGTAGATACAAAAGTGAGGTAAGATATTATTGAAGTCATTTCAAAAGACAATATAACTTAAAATATATGCAAACTTGAAAATAATTAGGTTTGATGTGAATATGACATAACAAACATGATCCTGTGATAATTAATAGAGATAATCATAATTAACTAATGTTATTTGGCATGGAAAATGCCATACACCTGGTAATACACAATTATAATGCAATAGTGTAAAGTATTCACGAAAGGTATTAAATGTGCTACATTAAAATAAAATAAATGTATGTATAATATTTTTGGTAAATAACTAAAATAAGCAAAGTCATCAATACCTGTGTGTAACTGATTAGTTATCAGGTCTGCACCCATCAACCTGCCTGGTTTGGGAGCATCCTAAAGGAAAATTGTTTATTTTTGTCGGTTGCATGGTCATAGATCTATCCGGAGGTTCAATTTGTTATTCTTAATTTGTATTTCCTTGCATACTAGAATTGCAACTGTTTTATTTATTAGAAAATATAACATTAGGTCTTTATATGTCCACGAACATTTTAGTAAACGTCACTTATTTAAGATGCGATAAGCCATGTGCCGAGTAAAGTACTCAATTTTACTGGCATTTGTTTGTCAACGACAACATGCAGTTTCAGTTGAACAAAGCTTGTTTTAATTTCTTTATCTGTGGCTCTAAAGGTCTTGCCTTTATTTGGCGGTAAAGGTCACCAAGATAGTAGAGTATACTTGCAATGTGGCAGCACGTACCCATTGTGCGCTTGCCTGCTGGACACTGACAATAATGATCAGTAATAGGTTCATCCTTGTTGTCTGCATCGAATGCTATCCAAACGTTGTACTTCGTCTGGGATTTTAATTTTTTACGTGATCATATTTTTCCTCAGATGATCAGCGTGCTGGTACACCCATACCTGGAAATCACCCTCATCAGTCAGGTGTTCTGCAATGTACCCTGAAGCCTGTTTGATTTGATAGGCACCACATGTTGCAGTTTCTAGGTACTCCATATCGAGCTCTGGAAATGCACAGCTTAATTTCTGCCATTCTGATCTTGCCCTTCGACTTAAATCGGGCTCTTTGTGTACTCTACCAGCCAAAGAATTCTTCAAGGAGAGCCTGGCCAACATTCTGTTTGCTAGTTGGCGATCTTTGGCTTCATGGGCAGCAGATGGGTTGTAAATTGGGCCACGGATAGCATTCAGACAGGCAGTAGTAATGCCAACAAGCTGCTCAATTATCTCGATGAAATAATTGGAAGAGAGCTGCTCTTTAAACAGTCGCCATTGCTTGAATCATTTATGATAACTTTCGACGACCCAGCGTGTTTTTGTGTATAGTCTGTCCTTATTTGCTGTTTCTGCATCATGTTGTGACATCCCGGATTGCAAATAAGAAGGCATATGAGATTCTAAACCAGATGACTTGATAAGGTCAAGAACGTCCCTGACCCTCTGTCAACTTTCATATTATCGCTATCGTGTAGCCATTCATTCAAGTTTTCAATAGACTCAAAAATCTTTTTTTGTGGTCTTGGCATCGTTACCATAAAAAGGACCTATTGTGTCTAGAACATAACCGTCGGGAAGGACAAAACTCATAAACTTTAAATAGTTCCTCTTTTTTTGGCCACTTACTGAAGTAATCATGTGGAATGTTTTGGAATCTTCAGCTTTGCTGATACCATACAGTGCACCCAGCTGTGGCCAAGATACATTTGTTTTAAGTTTAACCCAAAACATAATTAATGCATTGACTGTTGAAGTACATTTTGGGTTAGTGATATTATTGGCACTTAGCTCATGCATCTTATCTATGTCGTCAAGTGACCAACCTGTCCATGCCTTACAGTCCTCATCGGAAAGAGAAGCAAAGTCTAGCCTGGGTTTGTCCATACCAACTTTCACTGTGTTTGCCAGCTCCAAAAGACCATTAATGATAGGTTCGGCTTTATCAGAGAGGTGTTCCTTTAATGGAGTACGATTGTCCATATTAACTTCTAGATCAGGATGCAACTCATTGCCTACAAGATGCTTTGAGCATACGCAGGAGTCAACTGGACACCAAAGTTTGAATTTCCGAAAGAGAGTAAGACGAGCAGAGTGAGGTAGTGGTGATAGATAGCAGGATACATACTGCAAACAAATTGTGCATCGCCTGTGGGAGCTTGCACCATAGAACGCATCATCCACAGATAGAACTTGATATTCAGTTATACAAAAATCATCAGTACTTCTGAAGGATCTGTTTGGATATCTCTGACAGGAATTGCTGCTCGTTTTCTCTCATAGCGCTTAAAGCATTTGAAACAAATGACTGCGTCATTAATCTTTGATTGGTTGATACCATCTTCTGAAAGGAGTCTACAAGGCCACTCATACTTAACAACCTTCCGGAAGACCTTTTTTGTTTTGGGAATATCCCTTACACGAAATGTGCATCCTGGTCCAACACAAGTCATGTTTTTGTCATTTAATGGTGCTTCTGCATAAAATGCGTTATAATGAATTACAGAAGATGGCTATGCCTTTTGTTGTAGGCTTTACTTAAGGTTATGACATTTCAAACTAAATATTATATATAACATGTCAATTATCAAAATGGGGATATTGCAAGGGTGTCCTTTGTGACCTTTATTTACTCACTTGATTAATACATGAATGCTCAAGAAGATAATCAGTAGGTTTTACACAAATGTGTTGCATGTATTACCACCATATATTGAGACAATTCTAGTACAATATATGTGACACTATAATATTATGATTACAGTTCCTATTCAAGATCACCATTGACAACACATGTACAATGTAAACAGACATTGTCATATGGAGAGCGTATATGTCATTGTTACGCTGCATTTGTTGATATGTAATGGTCTTCTGTTCTCTACCAATATTTGCAATCAGATGAATTTTGTTGTTCAAATCAATGCAGAAGAAAATAAAACTATTTTAAAAATAATAGAAAATAAAGACCACAAAATAGCGATGTAAGAAACATACTTGAAGATAATACTAAGTATTTCTTTGTTGTAAATTTGTAATGTTAACTAAAAAACACAGCATACACCTAAAATGATCAAATAGTTATGTAATTATGCTGTGAATTATCCCTTTTTTTTTGCCAACTGGAGACACTTTCCTCAAATCCAAAATTTTACACAAGCTGCATTGAAGTAGCTCAAAAACCATTTTCAGGGTTTTCAATTCTTTCCCAATTTTACCTGGTGGTGAAACATATATTTAAGCTAATTTTTATTTAAATTATAATGGTGAACAAAAGTTTTAACATGGCAAATTTTGACATTTTTGGCGACATCATGGTTTTCAAAACTGCAAAAAATAACTATTTAAGCCTCTTAAACATTCCTTGCTTCAAGAAATCAGTACAGATTTCATATATAAATCGTGAATTATGTTTCAAGAAGAGAAAAAATAAAGAATCGATGAAACAGATTGCATGAAAACATGTTGTGGATGCATGTTTTTATATGTCGTCACTTTTCTGATTTTTGCGGGCCCTTTGGGCCTTTCTAATGTAAAAAATGAAAAATCAAGTGTGTTTTAACATTGCCTTTTATAGTACTACAAACATGTGAAGTTTGAAAGAAATCCGGGTGTGGGTGGTTTCTATGGGAACTTTAACATTAGCTGGAACCCCACCTTTCAATGTCGTTCCGCTCAAACTAGTTATGGGATGTAAAGCCAGCATTGCTTCTACAGTAATCAGTTTCCAGTGATCCCTTTCTTTCTTTTGTTTTTGTTCTTTCCCTTTTCATTATAACTAAAATTATGATAACAAATATGAAAATTCTTTCTAAATCTAAAACTGTCAAATAAAATATGGTAACCTGTCGGCCATCTTGTTTTTCAAATAAATCTCAAAATAAATGCTGTACAACAAGGGATCATATAACGTGAATATACAAAGAACTTTAAGAATGATGAAGTCAGTTCTGCTCAAGAAATAGCACAAAATACTACTACTGGCAAAATTCAAAATGGCTACCCATCAGCCATTTATTTTCATACATGTCTAAAAACATTGGACAATGTACAATTAGTAACCAAGAGGAACCTACGTATGAAATATTACGAATTATCCATTCAGTACTTCTACAGAAATAGTGACAACCATTAGTCAAAATCCAAGATGAACGACTGTCGGGAGATTTTAAAAGCCTATCTGATGATGGCGGGCTAAAATGTAGAGAACAAATGGAGGCAGCCTTTTTTTATCAATGACGTAAGGCCATTGTTCATATGACAACACAATCAATTTTTGACTGGCACGGCCAATGAAAAATTACTCATACTATTTAGTATCTAGTAACTACCTATATGGTGTTTTGAAAATGTGACTGTTTGATTGACCTTATGCAGGATCAGTGCTGTCCATGAAACAAGCAGCTTACTGTTGGTCTTATTTTCCTGCATATGAATCTACTAAGGGTCTCTCTGATTTCCTCCTATTATTAACAATTAACAGCTTTATCAGTTAGAATAACACCGACAGTTCAGCATGAGCCCTATCATCATGCTGTACATCCCTCAAGTGTCGCGAAGCCATCTGTCCATTCTTGTTGATGATACAACACTTCATCTTGACATGAAGATTAATCCAATTAAACTCCCTTTTGTCAGTAATTTGTTTAATTCTGGCCAACTCTGCTAGATAATTTCATTCAACAAAATGACCTTAAAAGCTTTGACCCCGACATTAAACTATAATCAGGTAATCCTGACTTTTGGTCAGTTGACTCCTTTAATTCTGAGCTTTGATTCCTGGTTGATACAAAGACTGTACAAAAGACACAGTGAGTAGCACCTTTTAATACAAATTTAAAGTTAAGATACAGTACAGCCAAACAATGATTAAATGCATCACATTGCTGTTTCTCCCATCTAGGATTCGTCAGTGATGTTAATAGCCTAAACTTCGAAGACTAGCAAGCGACCGAGGAAAATTCAAAGTAACTGGTAATCGTCTGAAAAGTCAAAATCTAGAAAGGATGGTGCACTAGCCCCATAATTAAATTTTGTGATTTTCATATATGCAATAATTTTAAAAGAATGTCAAGTACATGTATATATTCTGAACCGTGCCAATATTTGAATGAATTAATTATTGAATTTAAGGTTTTAGCTAACCTTTGGGACTCGTCCACTAGCAGTGTCTATCATTTGGTTCTCAAAGAATATACAAAAGGCACAAAAGTGAATGGCAACTCTCCATACAAATTCAACATCAGATAAAGTGGAGTCAAACAGTGAATTAAATTGCATCCTATAACCGTTTCCTCCTTCTAGGTCTCATCGGCTTCAAGATTTAAGTAATAAGTTGAACCAATAAAACGTTACCTGTACAGTAGCAAGAATAACATACTCGGTTTTATGGTCATGATAATTTATTTTGCATTTGTTTGGACAAAATTCAATGCAACTCTCAAAATTTAATGAAACCTTTCAATTGGATCATTAGCACTTAATAGCAGAAAGTAATCATTTGGTACCAATATGAAATAGCAGAAAAAAGGGTGGTTTTTTTTGTTTAAAGACATTTACAACATAACATTGTGAAGATAGTTCATCAATTTTCTTTTATTAACTAAAGAACTTTGTCATAAGATGCTGTCAAGCACTTTATAAAACCCAAGTCCAGTGATAAGATACAATGCAATCCAAGGATGCTGCCATGTGCTTATGAACCTGAACATTAGTGCTTTAAAAGTACCTTATATGTAGCTACTATAAAAGTATACATATGAGTTCAGTGCAAAGAAATAGGGCCATCATGTCTTGTAGTTTAAAATACAACCTGCAGTAAGCACTGAAGAAATAGTCATCTTGAGATGTAATATGCAATTAAATGGGCACAACATTAGGCATGGTGCCATCTAATGTTACAACCTCAAAACTAAGGAATCGACACAATGGTGTTAATGCCTTCAAAGTCATTTAAAAAAAAAATCCGAAGGCAGAATAAAAGGACTTAGTACAGAATTTTTAGAATATAAATGCTCAAGCCGAATTTACTTAAATCATCACATTCATTCTTTAAATCTTGTTTAAGGTTATTTCTAAACAAAGTGTTTCTTCATCTTCTTTCAGATTCTTTTTCCATCTTTTCTGTCCACTTAAGAAACATCTGATAGTTATGTAAGGATCACTGTACCACCAACCAACTGTGATTTTTCAGCCAATCAGTGATCAGTCCAAATGTTGAAGGAGCCAAATATAGCAAAAAATCTACTTTTTGTCAAGATCAGTTCTTGGCTGCATTATTTGCCTGCTTGGTACCAACAATAATTTCTTCGCCCATAGCCTTTAGAACAGTGACCTAAAAAAAAAAAGAGAACATTTTTTTAATAAGAGGCCCATGGGCCTTAACGGTCATCTGACAAAAAGCCAGCCAAACTCTAACAACAGTGAGTCTGCCGTTAAAACAGTGGCTTTATTCATTTGAATAAACTCGATAGCCCTTCCTCCCAGCATCCTACAGGCCCAATATCAGCACTCTGAGCCTTTTGGTTACTGAGAAGAATTTGTTTACAGATTTTAACATATTTTAACCCTGTGATCTTGAAAGTGGGTCAAGGTCATTCACTTGAATACATTTGGTAACACTTCCTTAAAGCATCCTACAGGCCCAATATCAACACTCTAATCATTTTGGTTATTGAAAAGTCATTTGCATATTTTAACATATTTAACCCCTGTGACCTTCAAAGTGGGTCAAGGTCATTCATATGAACAAATTTAGTAGCATGTCATCCCAGCATCCTACAGGTCCATTATCAGCACTCTTGGACTTTTGCTTATTGAAGAGAAGTTGTTTGTATATTTTAACATATTTGACCCCTGTGACCTAGAAAGTGGGTCAAAGTCATTCATTTGAACATACTTGGTAGCATGTCATCCATGCATCCTACAGGTCCATTATTAGCACTCTTGGACTTTTGCTTATTGAGAAGTCATTTGTACATTTTAATATATTTGACCCTATTTACCTAGAAAGTGGGTCAAAGTCATTCATTTGAACAAACTTGGTAGCCCTTCATCCCAGCATCCTACAGACCCAATATCAGCATTCTGAGCCTTTTGGTTGTTGAGAAGAAGTTGTTTAAAAATTTTAACATATTTGACCCCTGTGACCTAGAAAGTAGGTCGAGGTCATTTATTTGAACAAACATGGTAGCCCTTCCTCCAAGCATCCTACAGGCCCAATATCAGCACTCTTGGACTTTTGCTTATTGAGAAGAAGTCATTTGTATATTTGAACATATTTGACCCCTGTGACCTTGAAAGTGGGTCAAGGTCATTTATTTGAACAAACTTGGTAGCCCTTCCTCCCAGCATCCTACAGACCCAATATCAGCATTCTGAGCCTTTTGGTTGTTGAGAAGAATTTGTTTAAAAATTTCATCATATTTGACCCCTGTGACCTTGAAAGTGGGTCAAGGTAATTAATTTGAACAAACGTTGTAGGGCTCCATGCCAGCATGCTATGAGCCAAGTACTAGCCCCCTAGGCCTTCTAGTATTTGAGAAGAAATTTTTTGAATGAAAAGTTTACGGACGACACACGGTGCACGGCGGACGACGACGGACGAAGCACGATGGCTATAGGTCATCTAAACCCTTTGGGTCAGATGATCTAATATATACACATACTTTTAACAAATCTATGTATATAAAGTTGAGCCTCATTATTGAAGTAGGCGCAACAAAAGAAAACTTCAAGATAACCATGTTCGGTTTGAAGTTTGGTGGAGAGAACCAAAATATTATGAATTAAACAGGATCTTTGAGTTATGATATATAAAATTTTAGAAATATTAATTCAGTACTTCAAGAAATTACAATAAACTCTTAATTATCAAATCTAAGATGGTTTTTCCTGATTACTCCCAAATTCAAAGAGATACAACTAGGCACCAAAGGACACCAAAACATAAACATTTGAGGTATCTATCCAATATTTCTCAAGAAAAAGTGATAACAAACTTTCACTGAAACAATTCCAGAGGGATCTTTGCAACCACCATCGTTAAGTTCTTTGAAAGTTGGATCCTTTCCCATAATTTTTCTTCTATCCTGTTTTTTCACTTGAATTTCAAAAATAATCATTTAGTTGATGTTCTTTATTGTTTTGTATATTTTACTGGGACGTTTATGTGTATGGGATGTAGAAAATAGAACTGGGGAATTTCCCAAATGATGCTACAGGATTCTAATCATAGCAAACTTTCTTCAACAGGCTTCATATTGAACCAGTTATTATTGTATAAAAATTTCCATTCATAGCCCACATAAAGAAATTGAAATATGGTAACTCTATGCCTTTCAGTATTTCAGAAGAAGTTGTTTAAATGAAAAGTTGATGGACGCCAGGGTATGGCATAACCTCACTTTGCCCTCTGGGCCAGGTGAGCTAATAAACTTCATCAACCCAGTGGTAAAATCCTTGCTAATTTCAAGTAAAAATGTAATTTACAGGACTTGCGTGTGGTTTATGTATAGATGTATTGTTCATTCACTAATTGATATATAAATACAGTGGTATTTCATGTATACAATTGTTGGTATCACCACAAGCAAACATAACGTACAATAAACAAACCCTTTTCCCAGAACATTTCATATGGATCATAAAACTTAACCACAGAAATCTCTTTGGACAGAAGGTGGGGATATATTGAAGTTACACTGTATACATTATTTTTCATCTTAATCTGCTGTTAAAGAACTGCTGCCAATTCATATCTTTAACTATTTATTAAATCAATTTTAACTTACCATAAAAGTTTCGTCATTGGTATGCCTCTTTAAAATGTCTTCTCCAACTTCATTTTTCGGAACTGTCAAATCACTCCTAAGGTTACCATCGTCACTCATCAAAGAAGCAAATCCATCTTGTATGTCAACGCACTGAAAATTAAAAAGAAAAAACTTGCAAAAAAGAATAAAGAAAAATAATCAAAAGGCCCACATGGCCTGTTTAACTTATCTGGCTTAGTTTGGCAAATTTTTTATCAATTGTAATGAAACATGGCAGAAGGGATAATAACATGACAGCACATATTGCCTCTTTGTTTGATCTTATTTATTCTTTGAAAGTTGGATCTTTTCTCTGTTTTTGCTCTAAATGAAAAGAAATTTAAACACTCCTTTGCAGAACTAGCTATAATTATCTTTAACCGATAAACCCAAGACAATTGTCTGGAAGCCATTTTGTTTTTCTGATCAGTCCCAAAATGAAACCTCATAACTAGGGCCATAGGGAACCTGTATACAAAATTTTAGCATGATCCTCTGAAGAAATAAAGATAAAATTCACAAGGCAAAATATTAGATGGCAATCTGTCAGTCATTTTGTTTTTATGATCAAACTAAAAATCAAACAAGCAAAACTAGGAACCAAGAAGAACCTACACATGAAATTTGAGAAATATCAATCCAGTGCTTTTCAAGAAATAGTGGTAACAAATACTGGTTATGGACGGACAGACAGACAACAGATCATGAATGTAGAGCAATCTGAATAGCCCACTATCTGATGACGGTGGGATAAAAAGAGAGTATACCATTTTTATACAAATTGGCTATCTAAAGCAGACTTTGTCAAAATTCAAATATTGTCCAATTTCCATGAAAATTTAATGTAGGATGATTATGGGACACTGATCAAAATTGTAGCCTCCGTTTCAAATTTCAACAAAATGACTGCCATTTTCTGGTTTCTGATTGATAAAAATGTTAATATCATGAGTACTTATGTAGAGTGAAGACCATGTTGCCGATCTTTATAAAACGCATAAAAATATTGCAATACATCTATAGTGGCTTACTTGATAATCTAATCTTGTTACATTAGGAACACTCATGTTATGTGTAGAAGGGCTAACATCTTCGTATTTTTTGCCTGTGAAAATGTCGATACCAACCAAATGAACCTGAAAATTAAAAGAAAACATTCATGTAAACTTAGTTAAAATAGACACCATACTTTTCATCAGCTTGAAGGACTGGGGAGCTAGTCGATCAACCAAGTACATAAATCCAGCAAAAAGAAATATGACAACCCTAGACACCGAGTCAAATTTGTAGTGAAGTTTTATTTGATGCACAATTTTAAAATGCCTTCTGCTAATGCTTCACATTTTGACTACAGACCCTCAGAGTTTTATGCCTACTATATCCATTTTCATCTATCAATTACAAGATTTAATGAGCAAGTGTTATGTTTGTTGTCATTAATTAACAGTAACATCCATTAGACAGGGGGTGTCATGGCCCAAAACATATTTTTTGTGATGTGTGTGTTAAAGTGAATTAAAAGGTAAGGCCATAGTAGTGTGAAGCCCCCTGCCAATCCAAGATATACTTTTTTGTGTTTAAATGAATGAACCATGGTCATTTGAAAAGAAATTGGTGGAAGGTCATGGTAAAGTGAAACCCCCTGCCCCATCCTAAATTTCCAAATCCTTGTGAAAACCCCTGCCCCCTCACAAATTTCCAAACTCTTATATATTTTTTTCATAATTTAATAATAAGTTTTCCTCGTCAAAAAGCCATTGTACCTTTGCATGACCATGTTTTCCTGTTTTTGATGTAGACATTTCTATAATCTTGCAAGGACGACCTTTCAGAAGAACGTGACCATTTTTCCTCAAAGCAGAGCATTGTGTCGGAAAGGAATTGGAGGCTCCAGACTCTCCAGATTCAAAGTCATTACCAATATCTTCTTGGTCACCCATTGTGGATAGTATTTCTGAAAAGAAAAAAACCCATTATGTATCAAATAACCAATTCAACTATACAAACATGTCTGCATTTTCCAAACACAATCCTTTTTTCAGATGCTCCCATCAACAATCCTACATGTACATCTCTCACATGGAATATTTCAGCTATCAAAATAAACAAAAACCCCCAAAATGTTCTTTTAATAGTTACAGTGACCTTAACCATTCACCTCTGGACATAAAAGACAATTTTGAGTAAGTGCAAAACAATGGATGAACAGATTTTGATTTAGAGTGAGAAATATTTGCCTCATTACGTATCATTTATATTTCACAAGCATCTCTGTAAAACGAAAGTTGTTGCTTTGAGTGAAGGTTGCTTTGCTCCTACTTAAAGTGAATGCCTGATAACGAGTAGCTCTTTCACCTCATTCAGATGCATAATAGTTATTAGGGACTTGCAAAAAAAGAACTTTTATCTTGGGTGAATGGGCTTTTTGAATATATTATATCACTGTTATGACCAAAACTTGTTGTACCTGCTGTATAAAGGGGAATAAAAATACATGTATTTATTTTACAGTTTCAACCTTGTCAGGTGCACTTACCAGAGGTGAAGATCTGGATTATTACATACCACACATAACAAACACACACAATCACTTAAATAAAACAACAGCACCCCACTCCCACAATTAAGGTCTGAAATTATTGTTTAAGACTGATAAGTGTCCTCTCCTTCCCTATTCAATAGTCCTTTACTATCATCCCTACTCCTTGGTCACACTACATCAAAATTATCCCATGTTATCCCACGGCCATATCCGAGTAATCTTTGTAGGATTTTGGACCATCAAGTCCTAGACGTGCTTTTCTTGAAAAGGCAATTCCAAGGCAAACACAGAGTGCCTCACACAAAATACTTGTATCCACTGCAACCAATTGCAAACAGACACTAAAATATTAGCCCAGACATGGTGATACATAACTTGTCTATTCTTTTCTTTATGTGTGATAAATTATGGAATTATATTAAAAAAGTACTCTTGAAAACAAATTTTGTTTTGTCCTCTGATAAAGATCTTAGTAATGAATTTAAACGGCATCATTCTATGATGGTACATGTATGGTTCAGACATGATTGTTCTGTAAATGCGACTGAAGTTCAGTGATCAGTTTTATCACTGCTTTTGTAAATTGTATGGTTTTTGCCGTCTTCCATCTCAAATAAAAAATTAAGTCCAATAATAACTTTAAAATAACTAAACAAATTAAATTCTATAGGAAGAGGAGTTTTTAACAAAATTTAAAATACAGAACCATACTCAAGATCATTCCTTTCTTTTGCTTTTTAACATTTAAGTAAAAATTGAAATATGACCTATTCCCATTCAGACAAACTCTTCCAGTTCAGTCATCAAACACTTACACATCATCTGACATTCATAGCACATTCATTCTAAACAATCTCATGGTCAGACGATTACTCACGACAAAATGTCACAACAGTATCATAATCTCAGTCTTGTTGGCATTCATACAAGGGGATGAAAATTGTCATTTCCCCACAAACATGGACGCCAGCACAGTCCAAGGCATGTTAATCGTCAATAAAATTGTACAAAAATGAAAACGAACCATCACATACTTCCAACTCCGCTAAATACTTACCTCACAATCACAATTATAATTATATAAGTATTAAAATGTGAACACAGGATACCAGGAATAGTGTTGAACTACAGAAAATATGGCCACCGTTTCACAGATTGACACCAGTAGGATATTAGCACTAACACCTCACCAACAAATAAGCACCGACACACTGTCCATTAAAGCGACTATAATGTTAAACAAGAGGCCCAGAGGACCAACCTTTCAGCCAAATATATTGATTCTCTGCCTTCCGGTATTTTGGAAGAAGTCATTTCAAACATTTGACCTATGTGACCTTGAATATGTGTCAAGGTCATTTCTTTTCACAAAATTTGTTGGGCTTCATCAAAGAAATCTTCCAGCCAAATTTGGTAACTCTATGCCTTTCGGTATTTCAGAAGTTGTTTAAATGAAAAGTTGACGGGCGCAGGACGAATGTCACGCTATGGCATAAGGTCACTTGGCAAGTTATAGTCATAATTAGGTCAAGGCAGTAATCTTCAAAATCATTGTCTAAGAATATGTCTGGTTGTACAGATGGTCCCTTTCTATCCAACTATACCAGTCTCAACCATCACAGTATACAATTTCCTTTTACTCATTTTCCTATAATTTCTCATCTGTTGAAACATGGTTTAGAGGATGTACAAGAGTTTCTCTTAACTGTAAGTGTCACGGTCACCCAGAAATTGAACTGGATGTGCAACAATCAATCATAAAGTTGTAATACCAAATTTCATTTCCATAACTTGCACTGTGCAAAGCATTATTCCCAAGAAATTTTCAAGTTCAAAGAGACATATCACTGCCAAGAAGGGTTACAGACTGCATATATCAAATGTCATTTCTTTAACTCAAAGCATAAGCCAAAAAAGTCCAGAAAAACAATATTCCCACAGAATTTTCTAAGTACAAAGGGCATCACTCAGCCAAGAAGGGTCACAGACAGCCGGAAATCAAACGTAATCTGTACCCTTGCAACAAGAAGCCATATACTAAATTTCATTTCGATAACTCAAAGCATAAGCCAAAAAAGTCCAGAAAAACAATATTCCCAGGAAATTTTCTAAGTTAAAACTCTGCCAAAAAGGGTCACAGACAGCCGGGAATTGAACTTAATCAGTACCCTTGCAACAAAAAGCCATAGGCCAAATTTCATGTTGTTAACTCAAAGCATTACCGGAAAAAAGTCCGGAAAACTTTTGTACGGACGACGGCACCGACAACGCGTGAAGACAGACAAAGTGATCCCTAAGTGTCCGCCAGCTCTGCAGGCGACACAAAAACATGTTAAAAGAAATAAACATGTATTCTTTACCACTCATTAAACTTTCATTTACCCTTAACCATACACAACAATGGTGGCAAACTATACCAGTCTCAACCATCACATCATACAATTTCCTCTACTCTTTTCCAATAATTTCTCATCTGCTCAAACGCGACTTAGAGGATGTAAAACAAGCTAAAAGAAATAAACATGTATTCTTTACCACTCGTATTTAATAAAAAGTTGGAAAAGGTAGTCACAAAAATAAATTGTAGATGGATCATTGATCTGCACATCAGGCATTCGAGGTTAATGGGGCAAAACTGTTAATCAATAAAAGATTTCATACATAATTTGTTCATAGACAAACTGTGAATTCTTTCCGCTTCGTTATTTGACTTTCTAAATCATCTGGACAACCTAGGTTTACGTTGGCCACCTGGCAATTTTACAAATATTGACCGTCTCCGTATGGTTCAGTTTTACAAAGGAATGTCTCTAAGTGTTAATATCTCTCTGTGTATTTACTCCACAACATACATGAAGAAACGAAAACGATTAGGTGGCACGATGAGAGCATTAATGATATATATGTATATATATATATATTTCGGCTCATGAGACAGATGATAAATCGCCATGCTGGATTGAACGACACAAGGCGAGCCACAACTAGTCCGGCATATTGAAGAGATGTGGTAACAAAACTACAATACTGTTAAAACTTCAAGTGGAATACGACTGATAACGTCTTATGACATCAGAATTACAACTTAAACATAGAAAGACGCCAAGTATATCTAGAAATGAAAGGATGGTAATTGCAATACTCACGTGTTTCTCAAAGCAGATAGAAAAAGGATTTATTACGCATGCGCAACACGTAAAGCTGTTTTCACCAGATGGAGGCACTGTTGTGACATACCTCGTCTGTTGTGTACCGCTATCGCAATGTGAAGGAGTGACGTGTAAGGCGATGCCCGAATTTCTCATACGTCTAATGGATCGGAATGTTACCCAGTCAAATCATATATTTATCGACTACTTTATCCACCCTATTTCTCGAGTTATATCTAATGACCTATAAATAGATAGGGATGCTTTGTTATCTATTTTTTCGTATAGAAGAAGTTCAGATATGAATACCACTCACTGTAGATTTGAAGAAAGGATAAAATAATTAATATAAAGTTCAGTACGACTGAGCAGAGACATAGCCTGAGTCGCGCGGTCATCTGGTTAATTATCAGTGATCGTTGTATGAGGAGATCAGGTAGGGTAGTATGGTGAGTTCAGAATTTACAACACGGCGTATGCAAAACACATAGAGAATGAGATGCATATTATATTATACAATTTGTTGGTTTTTTCTTAATTGATTACATTCAGGCATATATTTCCCCAGAGTCTGACACCGTTTTCACAATAATTTTTTTCCAATAGTAACTTTTATGATATTTTCCCCTTAGATCTTGTACGTATTAATTCAAGAATTTAAAAGAAAAGAAACGTAGTGCCTTTATAAGTCCATTTCTTGTAACAATGTACTGTCCCCTTCTCCCTCTCCCTCTTCGGAAAACAACAACTTTCGTATTTTCAATATTCAGAGTGAGCTCCCATTTTTCAGTTTATCTAAATTATTGAACAGATCTAGTAATCCCTGAACAGCCTCTGAAATAATACCATATCGTCAGCATATTTCCTATATATCCTTAGTTATTGTTTCTATGCGTCTAATGCAGTAATGGACAGTACTTACATATTCTTAGTTGTTGTTCCTATCCGCCTAATGCACATCTCCTATATATCCTTAGTTATTGTTCCTATCCGCCTAATGGACATCCCCTATACATTCTTAGCTATTTCCTTAGTTTTTGTTTTTAATCGTCTAATGGACATACCTTATTTATCCATTGTTACTTTTTCTATCCGTTCCATTGGCATCTCCTACACTGATATATCCAAAGTTTTCCTCCTGTAAAAAGTGACTTGCGTAAGTCTACTATAAGGGTAATACATTGCATCAGGCCTATATACGCGATAAAATATTGTCGGTACCTACGCACTTGTTTGTCCATTAGACGTATAAGATTTTTGACG